CACCACAACCATCCCTCTTCCAACAGCAACAGCAGCAGCAACAAGCTGCAGCCACGAGACCTCCCCCATCAAACATTGATCCATTCGCTGCTCTTACATCACCATCAAGGCAATCTACCCCTCAACAATCTGGCTCCATTTTCGATTTTGCGAATCCTAAACCCCCAGTGTCACATCCAGCGAATGCCCCAGCACCTGCAGCGGATGATGATGAATGGGCATTTTCATCTGCCCTACCCGAAGGTCTTCCATCTACCAACGATTTAACCATTAGTAATACCAACGTCAAAATATCCCTAAATGCTACCCGTGAACCTACTACACCTGATGTCATTACCTTATCAATTGCATTCTCAAATAATTCAAACGAACCAATATCTGACTTGACGTTTCAAGCCGCAGTCACAAAGGTATTGTTCTTCTATCTATCTTCAGTGTGATCCAAAGATGCTAACACTACAAAAGGGCTATACACTCCGACTCCAACCTCAAAGTGGACGGAGGCTTAATCCCCACCAAAATTCGGGCATTACTCAAAAGATTTACCTTCAAGGTGTAGAGCACGGGAAGGGTGATCAGGTGAAGATGAGGTGGAAGTGCTCATACAAACTTGGTGCACAAAATTCTAATGAGCAAGGAGAAATTGCGAGCTTGGGCATTTCTTAATGTTGATGAAGATGAGAGTTGAGATGAAAGCTGGATCCAGGGAGTTGAATTAGGACAGGATGATGGGAATTATAGGTCATGGGTGTCGTAACGTATGTTTAGAGGTACGAAAGTTCAAACGATCTAGTTCAGGTGGAGGAGCGCGTTACAATACATGAAGGTTACGGGTATCTGGCTATGGCCAATATCAACTAATTTCAAATTCAAATCATAAAATCCTATTTAGCTACTCACATACTGCCCAGGAGTTGGTTGGTGATTTATTTTGCTTGGGCGATTCTTTGTGTAAGGTGCAGCTCCGAATTCTACATAAACTTCAATTCGTCAATTCATGGAAATCTAGGATTTAAGCATAATCGGTTCGCTCCCTCGAATATTTTCTTCGCCCGTTTCTTTAGGTGTCTTTGGATGTAATTGAAGGATCTGAATCTTTCAAGTAGCTGCAGCTTGGTAGGAGAATGTTAGGGCTCAGGTCTATGAGTTGGAAAATAAAGAGTCTTTCCACGGAACGCTGAACCGATTTCTTATGGTTCAGAACAAGATCGAATGATTGTTGCGATGTAAATCTTTTTCCTACCTGAATATCAATCGATAAGTTTTACAAGTATAGGGTATATATTCCAGTACAAAATTATACCTATGACCATTAGTTTGATTGATAGAGGAATCACTCAAAGCTGTGATTGATGTCTATTTCTATTGATGTCTCCCTACCTGGACTTTGAAGGACACTCGCTAATATTCATATCCTCAACTGTTCACCCGAGTTGCATATAGTTTGATCGTATACATCTGTTACAAGCTATACCATATTGTCAAATCTAGACTCAAGCTTTGAAAGGGGCATACTGCATAGAAGAATCGAACCCATTTGAACACTAGACCTGGATAATGCTTTCCAAATTCCGGACCGTAGTCTATTTCAACAATTTAGGTTTGAGATTTTGGGTACCCGATTATTGAGTTCATGAGTTCATGAGTTCAAATTGATTTAATTCTTGAGAGAAATTGAACGTTCTAAAAGTTTAATTGTTTGACTGCAGTCCTGATTACTGGATTCCCTGGACTTGTGACAGATAGTCACGCATTAGAGAGCTCAGGAGTGATAGATTTACTGAATTATCATCACATTATATAAGCTTATTCTATTTTCCAATCCCGTTCCCTAGGATCAGCATATTTGGTATATATAGTCCGAATTTCCTCCCATGCCTGATACAAGACTCGAATGACGATATGCTCTGTTGCCTTGGGGAAAGCCGGAGGAAGGAATAGGACTCTACCAAACTACCGTCCGTAAAAGAACCCCCGTATAACCTTTTCTTAGAGATATGATAGTTCTTTATAAGTTTTTAGATCATAAATCATAGTAGATCATTCAAATGATCTAAAAGATTGAAGAGATCTCGAATCTTGAATTGTTTTTGAGTGTTGAAGATTTCGAAATGATGTAATGTAGTCCGGAATTTCGAGGCTCGAATTAAAATCCCATATCTCTGCCATCGTCCTCGTATAGCTTGATACCCACACTATATCTGGACTTTCTTGTTTCGAAACATGGTAGATTGATTTCTCTTATGACAGTCTTATGATTCCCCGTCCTGTCGACTAGATCTCTCGATAATCAGGTGGTTCCTTATACCTAGGAGGTTCGATGTGTTGTGGAAAGTTCGTCGTCAGTCGAATACCTTCTTTTCTCATCTCACAGTTCCTTTTAGGGTTGAACGGAGAATGCGATACAAAGTTATCTTTTCGACAGAATGCAATATGTATGTGAGATTGCTGCACTTCAAATCTCCGAATGACTTCCACTTTCAGTTTCAATTGCTATGGCCCCAATCCACAAAGACCTTTCCCACCGACCATCTTAACTTCTCAGTCGACATGAAATTTGCTTATGGAATTCTTCCTTTCGAGCTTCATCATTGCGAGAGAATACGTATCATTTATATCCCTCTAATTTCATCTCCGCAAGGCTTCTCGATTTCTCCTCCTCCTCCTCCTACCCCTACGAGAGATAGAAGCATAGCAGAAAAACATCATCGTGGCAACCCCGATAATGATGAAGCATATCACAAAATAAAGAAACCAGATCTGCATTAACATGTAGGTGGTGTTGAATTTGTACCGTATTTTGAAGTAATTAGAGGTCGGTAATCCTATGGGGTCGGCTTCCCAGGTGGGTTCCCAGATGGTTGCATTTGGTTCGTGAAGAGTGGCGGAGGTGTTCATGTTTTCGTGTAGCGGTTGTCTTTGTGAGAATTGGGAAGATTCGTGGTTGGATGTGTTGGGATTTTCTTTTTGGGATGGGGATTTTGGAGAAAATTTGAGGAGGTGAGGTTACTTTATATATACCTGTCAATTTTAAGCTTTGGGAATAGAGCATCAGTGTACTACTTAGGATAGTACGAGGTATTGAACCAATAAAATCTACTTTTGTATGAACCAATTTCATAATCAACCTAGGTAGAAGGTAGTGGAGAGGTTGATCGTTCCAAAAGGTATGATTTGGTTGGTTATCAGAATGAATTGCATACGAACGAGATCGAATCTCCAGCTTAGCTCATCACTAGCGAGGCTAGACGAGACTAGATGTTTCTACCACTCGTCATAACTAAGTCACTTTACAACTCGATTGTCAAAACCCACAAAGATTTATGAGTAATGCATTCCATTCATATACGTCAAAGTGTTCTTTACACATACATAGTACAGTACAATCTTACAATCTGACGACATATTGACGAAGGATGAAGGAGATTCATCTCACTAGGTGTTAGGGATAAATCTGAAAGGTGCGAGTGGATTAATATATATAAGATAGATCTATAGCATTGATAATTCTACAGCCCTTCCACACTAATAGATCATAGAATGGATTCTTTCATCGGCACAATCACATAGTATAAACTCGAGCTTTAACATTCCCTTGTCTTGAATCTTCCATCGAGTCTGAAATAACTATATTCATTTATCAATCCCGACAGTGACCTCCACACATCCTACTAATCCAAAATGATTACTTAATAATCTAGATCAGAAAAGTTTATTATCCCATCCCATCCCAATCATTATTATAACTCAATCCATTCATCTCATGCATTTCATCCATTTCAAATTATCCAATTCAATCACCATCATAACTTCCCGAAGTCATACACACAGAAATACACTACACACTTAAACCCCCCCCCCCCCCAACTATCCCATCCACAACAACACAACCACCTACCTAATCTAATCTAATCTACTCATCATCATATAAACCTCATCTCTCATCTCACATCTCTCTCACATCTCAAATCTCAAATATAAACACCATGTATCAATTTCCTCTCTTTTCCTCTCTTTTCCTTTCTCTCCCTCCCTCCCTCCCTCTCTTCTCATAATAATCACAACAATCACAACAATCAATTCACCTATCTTCCCCCCCTTCCCTCTCTCTTCTCTCTCTTCATTAAATATAAAAAATGCATATATATCTATATCCTGGGGTATCATATCATATCATCTCACATCCTACAAATTCTTCAAACACACACACACTATCAGGTAGCCAGCCGTGCACTTTCCCACTTTTCCTTCTAACATTTATTTGTAATCTTTCATTCCTTCATTCCTTCGTATCAACCTATACTATACTATACTATACTATACTATACAGATACAAATGCCATAAACATGCAGTCCATTCCACCTTTTCCATACAATTGCTATCGTTATGCTACCCGTGCTATCCGTGCTATCCATGCTATCCGTACATGCAAGCCCATTCTTCCTTATTCCCGAGTTCTCTCCATGGTATATCTATGGTATATGGTATATGGTATATGGTATATGGTATATGGTATATGGTATATGGTATATCCTGTGCCCTATGCTATGCCGTGCCGTGCCGTGCCGTGCCCAAAACTCCATAATGATATCGATACAATCGATAGAACAGAAGAGGAAGAAAGAAAAAAACACACAAACCCCCAACCCCAACCAAACCCATCACCGACTCCTACTCCTCCTCTCCCCATACCAACCCCTCCCATCTCCCCTCACTCCCCCCTCCCCACCCGTCCGAATCCCCAACCCCGTCTCCCCAAATTCAATCATCCCCCCTCTCTCTGTACTCCAATTCCTCTGCGTCTGAAACCTCGACGATGTTCCCAAATCTCCAAATTCCACGACTCTCCCCCCACCTACCACCAAGCCTCCACTCCCACTACTTCCACCTCTTTTCATGAGCGGGGCTTGGAGTTCTGTCTCCGCTATTCCCCTTGCATTTCCATTCCCATTCCCATGCGCATGCGCAAATCCCTCACTACCCATCTCCGGACTCGGATAAACAAAACTCAAATCCCTCACCCCAGCCCCGACCCCTACTCTCCTCTCCTCACTCTGCCCCCAAATATCCCATCTGACTCCCACTCCCTGCCGCACTCATCCTCGGACTAAAATTCGGCGCCAAAGGATTAAAAGTCCTCGGAATCCTCGCTTGCGACGAAACATATTGGTTCTGTCCCTGTCCCTGCCCCAGTCTCTGCAAATCTCTCTCCCTCTCTTGATTTTCGTACAAGATTCTCGCTGCATCATCACCGACTACCGCGCGCGCGAACGCTAATCTCGGACTCTTTCTCACCATTCCTCTTTCGCGATCTTGGTACGGTGCGTGGTTTAGATAGTGGGCCGAGGAGATTTGATAGCTTATCTGCGGACTCATGGCCTGCGGGCCCACTCGAGGAGAAAAGGGGAGTTGGGGGAGAGGTTCGGTTTCGGCGAGAGATGTACGGCGTGCTTTTGATGCGGAGGTGGAGGTTGAGCAGGGGTGAGGGGAAGGCCGGGGGAGAGAAATGGTGGAGTGGGTTGATTGGCCCGAGGGGTTGCGGGAGAGGGGTTGGGATGTGTAGCCTGATTCTTGGGGGGAGGTCCGCGAGGTTGTTATACTTGTTGTGTCGGAGTGGGAGAACTCGGGACGGCCGGGGTAGTATGTTGAAGGGGTGGGTCGATACTGAGAAGGAAGAAGGTTGGGTGAGGAGATTGATTGGAATTGAGTTGGTCGGAGTAGGTGATGAGGACTCTGAGGATTGCCTTGATGTGGGATTGGATTTTGCATCGAGTTATGTAATGAGTTGGGATAAGATTGTGAATCCCAACTCGGATAGTCGTGGGGTAGATCCCTCTTTAGTGATGGTGACAATGATGTGTATGGTATTGATGATCTTGTCAAAGGAGGTGGACCTGTCATGATTGGATAGATAGTCTCAAAGGGATCTGGTATTGGTTTGAAACTATCTTGACTGTTGTTCGTGATTGGCGTATTATACATGTTGCTACTAGCTGCAGAATATGGTTGTCGATAATACAGATCCGGTGTATGAGGATATGGTGGCATACGAGTATAAGGTACGTGCGGTTGTGGTGATTGAGTCTCTGTATCATGAGGAATACGTTGTAAAGCGGCAACAGCTGTTGTTGGTTCCGGGTATCCAAGGTTTGATGTCGTATCACTAAAGTTTTCTTCAGTGCCATGTCTTGAAGCAGTATCTCTCGTTGGGCCAGAAACAGCCGATGCATAAGTTGGTGTCCTAGTGATAAGATTCGTTTCTGTCAACTTATGCGTGGGGGCTCTTCGATTTTGAATAGGACCACCTCCTCGAACTGGAGGTGGACTCGATTTACTGATATGAGCGAGCGCTACCCTCGCACTCGATTGACCAGACAAAGTACCACGAGATTGTGGTCGAATAGCAGGTTGTTGTAATTCACCATGTGCTGTAACACTAGTCACACGTGGATCGGAAAAACCTCCAGGAGTCATTGAACGAAAAGAGCCTGCACGATTACGGTATCTTCTTGACTCCTGAGCACGAATGGTTCTATGAAGATCAAGCTTCGGAGCCGTAACTCTTGAACGCCGAGGCTTGACAACTTCCCACGGACCTCCAGGACTCTCAGGAGAGCCAGCTGAAGGGGCCAAAGACTTTGGTGGCTGTAGTGTCATGGTAGAGCCTTCTAACTCACTATCATATCCAGTATCTTCCTTGGGAAGTTGAGGTGGGAATCGAATTTGTTTGATATTTTCCACCTGTTGAAGGAAATCCGGATCATGAACAAGACTCTTAGGGGATTCAATGTGAGGCCCAAGAACCCAAGGAGAACCATCACAAAATTTATCCGCAGGTGTTTCGGCATCGGCGCCAGTATCAGATGAACTACCCGTCCGATCAAATATCGATGTTTGGAATGCTTCCGGTTGACCTCCAGCAATGACGTGAGAAGATTCTGGAGTGCGTCGTTGGATCTCACTTCTAATTGCAGTTAATACATCATCCAGCATGATACAAGTCGCATCTGGATCTAAAGTCTCTTTCTTATGATGCTTGATGTATTCCTTTTTGTGCCTCTCAAGATGACTTTGAAGTCTCATGCCATGGATTTCGTACAGTCGATAGTCTTCCACGAGACCAGTTCGTGTTTTTTGTGTGATGCGATCGTTTGCTTGTTCGAATGAGTAGCAGAAAACTGAAATGGCTCGGTCGAGCCACATTGGCAATTCTTTTTTCGCATGTAAAGTATCCACAAAGAATCCTTGGACGACACTGTGTAGCCTGATGACATCGATATCATCTGACAACAAATCTCTGCTACCTTTTGAAGTTTGGGAAGAGCCGAGTGAGGCTTCGTGTTCGTTCCGGTCTATCAAAGCGAACTTGTTCAATACTTTGAATGTGTTGTTTAATGATCTACCAGTAATAGGCTCGCTGGCTCTAATTGGAACATCGAGTGCATCCAAACCTAATGATAATGTTAGTATGTATGTATTCATGAAGAGAATGACATGCGTATGATGCACCTACCTAGTGCAATCATCTCAACCGGAAGATGTTGACTGAAGAAGCACAAGATATGGATCAGATTGAGAGTTTCATAAGCACCCAACTTTTCCAATTGTTCAACCACCGATGCGAAAGCCTGAAGTTCCCTTAAACCCTTTGGTGCCGATGCATAAGATCTAGCATATCTTGCAAGTGGTTCATCGGTAGCTTTCAATCGTTGAGCAACGACATGAATAACTACCGGTAAGAATTGCATCGCTTGAACCAATTCCATAGAGTGCCTGAGGTCATCTTGAACATACGGCTCCTTCTTGTCCAGTTCTCGTAACAAAAGATGTTGAGCTTCTCTGGCGGAAAGGGCTGGTAATTTCAAAACCTGTGGGTTCATAAAATGATGATCGCCACTGACAGACTTCTCCGTTGATGTATAGATGATACTAGTGTTGATACTATCGGGAATAAATCTTCGTAAGCTATCATCAAAGTGCATACCGTCCAGTATCAAAAGCCAGTGATGTCGATGATTTAACCACTTCTTGACCAATTTAATAAATTGATCCGGATTGTCGAGAACTTTTGGATCTTCATTAACCATCGAAGGTTTCAAAGCTGCCTTTTTCGCAATTTGCCAAAAGCCTGCGGTGATTTCCTGTTTACTTTTCGCTCGAATCCAGAAAACACCACCGGGAAATTCGTGTCTGTATTCAAATGCATACTGTCGAGCCAAGTGAGTCTTACCACCACCAGGCATACTTTGGATCAAAACAGCACACGAGCCTTGGGATCTTCGCTGTTCATCAAAAAGCATTCTATGCATTTCAGCCAACTCTTCGCGTCGACCAACAAATATGGAATTGGGACGAAATCCGGGTGGTTTGATAAAATATTCTGCACTATCGTCTGACACATCGGGCTCAAGACTTGCAATAGTTTGTACTGAATTCGATAAATCTACGGAACCAAACAAATCAGCTTCCCGCCCACAATATAAAAAAGCACAACGCAAAGCTCCCATGACCAAAGAAAATATTAAAAGAAAATATCAATCTCAACGCCCGAGGTACAGATAATAGAGAACCTTGGCGATCAACTCCAACGATCCGCCATCTCAAAATCTTCCTCCTCCACTTCCGACACCTCATAATCAAAAATAGGTCTTGCTCGTGGAGACTCAGTCAACACGGGTTGATGATGACTTGGAGAGCTACCATGGTACATACCCTGTGGTTGTTTTGGAGTTCCCGGCGCTAAAGTTGGCTGCGAATTTGTTAGTGAATTTCCCAGGCCAAGATCATAGAGGGCGTACATCTTCGAATTGACCTCTAAGCTCTCTGATTTGTGCTTCTGTTTCCTCGGCTCGTTTCTTTATCTCATGTCTCCAGCGAGCACGAATTACTGGGGAAGCTTCCAAAGCCCATGTCTTGATCTTGGTAGAGACATTCATGTAACCTGGTGCTCTTTTGCTTTCATATTTGCACATGCCGCTGTGTGTAGCTTCGATACCAAAGTAGGAGACATCTGGAAGTAGAGGACTGGCGGAAGTTTGATCAACGATAAAAGCTTTTGTTCCTTTAAAGTCCGTCTTCAAACTCTCATGTGCCATACAAATCTTGAAGCGTTGATAAATGTCGAGGAAATGAAGATTGATATTGGCAAGTGTTTCATTATTTGTCGTCAAAGTTTTGATGAGAATTGATTCCGAGTCCATAGCTTTCTTCGGCATTAAAGCCGATACCATCCCTTGGAAAATCAATCCCCATTTCGCCGGATCAGCACCCGTATGAGGAGTACCGAGAAAGATGATACCGAAAGTCGAGACAGCAATGGAACGAATCTCGTCATTGCTCTTTCCTTGATAATCGTGGGAAATTTCTAGTGCCTGAGAGATGCATAAGTATTAATAGAATTGTGGGGGTAGCTATTGGTGCCACTTACTCGTTTTACCAAGATACCACCCAAACTATGCGCCACCCAAATGATTGGGTTTTCTTCGGCCTCTTCACTCTTCCTCTCTAGCGCCAAGCTAGATACCAAACTTTGTGCGTGTTCATGTATCCTGTCGTGCGAGGCGGATTTCTCTGCAAAAGCTACCACATCCGCATTGTATCCATAGACGAGTATGCGAACCTTTGCAGATTTGTTTGGATCTTTGGAGCTGAAGGTCACTGGGAGAAGAGCCGTGGGCCAGAAGATACCATTCTTCGCCGTCCACGTATGCTGTGGGTGACCGTTCAATCCATGAACCAGTACGATGTCTACTTCAGCTTGGGGATGTGCGTAGACTTCTGTGACTTCGAAGCGATTGATTTCATTGGGGTTTATAGCGGATCCATCCTGCCAAAGCACCAAATCAGCCGAAAGTTCAGAGATCCCTGCTGGTCTCGTCTGTAGACGAAACGGGAAGAGAGTTGGAATCTGGGGAAAGGATTGTTGTTCACTTACCATGTCGAGATCTTCGTTGGCCCGCGATGAAGCTCGAGTTCAATCGTATGGTTGCATATATAAGCACGAAAGAGTGAAGACTTATATAGACGAATGAAGGATGGAATCACCAAAGGACGTAAGGTGTCATGAAGACTGCGAAAAGTAAGCCTGCGGACGCAAAATATCGGAGACGTCTGCCTGACTCGATTGACGTACCCAGGGCATATAAGTTCTCGGTGTATCTGAAGATTAAATGTACCCGTGAAGATTGTGGCACGCGCTAATGGAGGTTGGGGTGTTAGTCACACGGGGGCCGAAAAGTATATACGACGCCACACGAACAATATTTCTTTAGTTCAAGACATGATTGATGCCATGTCGTAATCGATATATACTTTTTGTGGTGGTGAACGGTGGGAAAGAGGGCGCGAAGTTGGATGATGGTGGGATGGAAGTGAAAACATTTTGAGGAATATTGAAGTCAGCTGGTGACATGGGATGAAGGACTGGGGAGAGTGATTGACCGGGCGGGGGGGGTGAAGATGAAAATGGCTCGAATGGGGATAGTGTTGGGGAGATGGGATTGATGAATAGGGCTGTGGGTGGCTATGAAATTGATTTGAGGTGTCATAATAGTTTAATTAGGTTAATATCCATGGATGGTTAATATAGTTAATAGAGTTAATAGAGTTAATAGAGTTATTATTAAGAGAAGGCTTAGCATTTTCCTAAAACTCCCCTCCGCATATTATGGATTATATATATATTATATTTCCACCCCATCAACACCCCTCCCCCAATCATTTCTCTCGATGATTCCCATTCTCAAACCACCCGCGCCATCTCACAACTTTAACTCTAAAATGGCGAATGTGGTGGAAAGGATCAAGGACGCTTGTAGGGTTTATTACGGGTACGGGTAGGTACTTGGTACATCCAATCCTAGATGGTGATTCTTTGCTGCGGGATGGCGCCGTAATTGCATCAGGATTAGTATTGGTGTTGAGTCAGCGTCAGCGTCAGCATCGGTATGAGTATCATGGTTAGTATCTATCTGTATTAGTATCAGGGGAATTTTGTATCGGGAACTTTGTATCGGGAACCGTGTATCAGGGGAATTTTGTATCAGGGGATGATGAGAATTCGAGAGGTTATTGGTATTCCGACTCTCGTTGCAATAAGGTTATTAATTCGCATACAAATATCAAACTATAACGTAGTTTAACACCGAGTGGGCCATATCACCGAATGGGCCACTTCAAAATACACCAAAATTAACGCTTTTTTAATATTTGTATTTTAATAATCAATCATTATTTTTTAAAAGAAAATTAATATAAAATAATAATGAGAATTTAGCTCCTTATAAATCTATTTTTGATATAAAAATTTCTTATATTTTCTAAAAATAAGTAGAAATTGTCACGATTTTCGTTACAAAAGAAACATTTCTATAATAACTATTATAATAACTTGAATTTTCAATAAATAATTAGATTTTCATATTATTTATATGATTAAATTTTCTAGTTTCAATTTTTAGAGAATTCTGTCTATCAATAAAGAAAGTGCACGGTTATGCACAGACGAATTTTGTATGTAAAAATGATGGCCCACTCGGTGATATGGCCCACTCGGTGTTAAACTACGTTATACATAAATATAATAACCATTTACTTGTACTCGTATAAATACCTAGTATTTCTCATACACGTGCCCTACGATCTACCCACGACAGAACTCAAATACAATACAATATAGGTACCTAGATCTGCCATCCAAACTGTCAATGACGATGGATAACACAAGTCATCCAACTATCCATACATATCCATAGCACTCACTACACAACAAATAACAACACCGTCAAATGTTAAGGTTAGATACATATATATATATATATAATCTTACATTCTAACGTCAATTGAGTAATCTACAGAATTGATGCAATTCTCGAGATCATGTAAATACAAGGAAGATTCCTTCTATTCCTTTTGATATAGGTTTCTCACTCATGCCGGGACTCGTTTGTTCATGGCGTAATCTACGATACATGGCGTAACCTACGATATATGGCGTACATGGCTTATTTGATGATCAGAATATCAGTCAGTCAGTCAGTCATTCATTCAGTCATACAATTAATTCATCCAATAACCTACCTATATGCGCGTTTAGATGCTGCGCTTCGAGATGAATACTAGGTACCTGGTAGGTAGATACGCTCGAAGTACGCCCAATATTATATTAGATACGACGGGGTCCTACCGGTACGTACCTAGCAGTTAGCTAGATATCTCCAGATCTCATTAGTAGCGGATAGATACCGTGTGATCATGGATGCTTATATTCACAGTACCCTGTCCTGTCTCGAGCCTGTTCATAGCATAACGATAAATATTTCGGTTGTGGTGTTCCATTTATGATTATTCAGTTATGTAGATTATGGGATCAGTGTAGGTCAGTATAGGTAACTAGGTAAGCTGAGTGAGCTTGTAATACAAGAGAGTGTTTTGTGGAATTTCTAGAATGGCTACCTGGTATCTATGACAAATTAATCCTCCTACCTACCACCAGATTTTGAGCCCCAAATATCTTCGTCGAGGCGCATGCTTTGGAAGATCTCGGGAGATATGGATACCTAGGGCCACCTGGGCAATACGTAAAGGAGGCAAATCACGTGAAAGGGGCTGATATAGTTCTACCGGGAGGAATGTGACCTAGGTAGGTAGCAGGGAATCAAGGCACATAGCACTCTGGGGCTCCGTCATCTAAATCCGCCCTACACTCTTCACATTATGTGTTTGTTCACGAGAGTGACAAGTGACAATTATGAGACTCAAAGTCTCAATACGCTTGATTTGTCAATAAGGAAGGACCTATTTTAGCACCGGCACTTTTCTTTCTACCCAACTGCCCTAAATCATTCAAGCTTTTAAACTCTATTTGCTTTTCTCGGCGAAATTACCGCGGTGACCTTGATAGGTTGTACTGGCGGCAAAGTCAAGTGAGACATGTGGCATTAGTGAGTATTGTGAAGAATTAACTTTTTTAACACATGCATATTCTTTTCCCTTCAAAGATCTTCCTTCCTCCGCACGGTGGAAAAATCTTGTGATGAGTTGCAGCTGACTTCTGCTTCTCTGATATGGTACGAATCGTATAGCATGATAAGTATTAAAGGAACTTCCGAAAGTATGTTACCATAGATGACAACCACCTTTTTCAAGAAATTCCTTTTGATCAACTTCTCGGTGCCAACATTAGGACGTACTCTCGTGTACTGTGACCAAACTGTATCATGTCCTTATCCATTAACTCAACATATCGACTCGCATCGATCGGATCTTTGTTCATCATCGTACCATTCGCAGATTCAAGATCGATCAAGTATGGCTTGACTTTGCGAATCTTATCGCCAAATTCGTTCATCTTCTCGCTGGCTTTGAACTGTATGACGGCATGCTGTTTGCTGATACTTGGATGTTCCGCAACTAAATCCACCACGGCACGTTCTCGACCAACAAGCCAGCAACTCTTCGCACTCAAATCAATGGTTTCAATAATGTCGGCACCTTTAAACACAAAAAGTTTCCAGTCGTCTTTAGATGGTGGTTTGCATGCTTCGGGGGGTTCGTGATACTTTAGAACTATAGAATTTCCATCTGCCTGTGTAATTGTGTTTGAAGCTGCTGCTAAGACTCCCGTGTGTCCCAAATTCGGCTTCTCTTTTTCTGGTACCGGCTCGTCTCCGGTGGTTACAAGAGCCGTTGAGGATGGATCTTTTTTCGATTGAAACGATGCAGCTTGGGATGGTAGCGGACCGTTCTGTTTTCGAGATGCTACCGACTTCGTGGGTGGTTTCAGCGACCTGGTATTGTCGTTGTCATTTTCATCTTTAATTCGTCTTCGGTCGCGAGATCTATCTCTTCTTCTGCGAGGTGAATTTCGATCATCCTTTCGTCGAGGACTGCGCGATCTTCTGCGATGTGAATCTCGATTGTCTTTTTGTCGGGAAGAATCTGAATCAACTGGACTACGCGACCTTCTGCGATATCTCACTTTATCTTCGTATTTATCTCTCGTGCCTCTGGAACGATCATCATGCCTGTCGGAACGAGTAGATCCACGGTCAGCCTCTCGCTCTCTCCTGCGCCTCCTCCGCCTTCTCTCTTCTTCGGAATCTGTTGAGGGAGACCTAGAATGTCGCCGTGAAGAACAATCCTTCTGACGATTCGAGGTTTCAGGTGAGCCCATATTATTTAATTATTGGAGTGGTTGAATTGTTGAAGAAAAAAACGAGAGACAAAATTAATTGATAAATGATGAAGATACCGATAAGTACCTACCTACGAGATGCGAGTGATTGTGCATGTAATTCAAGCTTACCACCATTATTTGTACCTATCGGCTACCGTATCTTTGATTGGTAGGAGCGCCCATAGCTGAACTTCAACCTTTCTGCTTGATACCTAATTCAGACTAGCCGATATATTCTGACCATGAATCCTTCGAACATTCAAAATGGAAATTCTCCTGAACACCACCTCGACCACCTAGACAGGTACTTACCCATATGTCACATCTTGGTTTTCTCCATCAAGTTGTGCCGGGCATTGTTAACTCATGTCACTCACTCATGTCACTCACTCCGTGATATGATACGATACGATACGATACGAAGCGATGTGATGTGATGTGTTTGTTTGTGTTCTCTTGTGTTCTTCAATGTTTGTTTGCTTCTCTTCCTTCACCAACAACAATGATATATGATTCAAGGAAATCCGGTTGATGCAAAATCCAACAGATATACATATACACATGCAGCGAATAGGATCATGTGGACGCCATCATCCAACTCCAAGGCTTCTTGATCCATCCGGTTCTATTTCCGAAACTCGCGATACAATCATCATTCATGTAAGAACCGTCATTGATACCTGGTTATTCCATACTTATACGAAGAATACACTTACGATGTGAGTTGGGGTGCATTGCAGGACCTGAAACTCTCCTCGAAAATCGATTACAAGGTATCTTTTCTCCGTATTCTAATTCTCTTACTTGATCTCTTCGCTGTTATCATCTGCTTCCAATCGCGTCCTTTTCTCTTCTTTAGTATTACTTGTTCTTGCTTTACTTCCGAGTTTTTCTACTGCGCCGTAAGCGTTGGTTCTCGCGTTTGGTTGGATGTAGTGATGGCCAGATAAGCGACCGCCCCCATAGCGGTTACGAAAGTTTTCATGTCTTTTATGATTTGTCTGCATAATTTGAATCGACGCTTTTTTATCTGTTTCAGGTTACTGCGTTAAATCGAGTGGTTCATAATGACTCTTACCTTTGAGACACCAGGCCGCAGCGTCGTTGCCGCATACTCGCACACTTGAAATGGTTGATCGAGGCTTCCAGCTCGAGTCGAAGAATATAATGTGAGATGGGGTCCAATCCTAAAATATTTATATATCTCTTTGACCATGGCCCAGCCTCAGCCCTTGGATCTAAGCCTGCCTTGATTACAATTGAATATTTTCGAGGCCAGTTTTCAACGTGAAAACTCAACTGTCGTTTAAATTTCACGTCGCATGGGAATAATTTCATTGGCAATTACCCGACCACATCTTTCCTCGGGTTTCTCGGATGAACTACTTGTACAAGAATTTCCCTTTTCAAGCTCCTCTCAAACCTTTAGCATCGAGGGTTGCCTCTTGCTTGGACCCCAACTTTTTTTTAGTTACTTGTGAATACCCCTAAAAAAGGCGTGGAATCATGCCTCATGTTGTCTCTCAAATGCAGCCAAAAGAAAGGCCCCAACAAACTCACAACTCAAAACGAACCATGATCAAGAATGCAGTTTCTCAAGATAACCTTCGCCCATCTACTACTCCTCGTTGTCGAAACGCAAATGGCCCAACTCCCACCTTGAGTTTGCTCGTTACCCCACAAGGTGCATGGAACTATACGCCAGGTCGACAGCATTCAAAACAATTTTCTCCTGATAGAATGACACCTATATCCGCCGTCGATTCCGTTTTTGAATTATCTTCGCCAGCTACAAATGCTTCCCCAAATTCAGCCACATCATCATTTATTGCTGAACTGGAAGACACTTCTCCTGGGGCAGCCAAGCCCCAGAAAGTCATCATGGATCCAAAGTCTCCACTCAGTCCTACACGTTCCGTAAGTTCTCGATTAAAATGCTTTTTTGTATCATCAATACTCATTCATATACCTAGTTACATGCAGCTACTGCCATTGACGCTATCAATGACTTCGAGGCAGAGAATAAGCGTCTTCTCGAGCGGGCTATTGCGGCCGAAAATGCAGCAAAGATATTGGAGGAGCAAAATATCGATCTCCGACGGAAAGTCAACTATTGTATGGAACAACATAGACCAAAGACTGCACCAACTCAGAGAACCTCACAAGACTTACGCAAGCGCAATACCGCATACAGCACGACAACACCTCTATCCGCTTTCAACACTATGATGGATCATGTGGAGGCTAAGTATTTACCACCTCCTATTAATGATACACCCACACCATTGCCTCGACGAAAAAATTCGCTCCCATCAGAATCACTAGTTTCACATCAAGGTGAACTTACGCCAAACAGATTTGGTCCCAGTGGATTTATTCCCTCGCGGCGACCTCCTCCGATTCCAGAGAGTAAAAAGGTATCTTCATCGAAAGACCCAACCCGTCGTCGTGATACATTAAAAAAGAACGACGTGAGCACTCCAAGAACAACACGTTCTAATAGTCGAATGACCAAAATCTCCTTGTCGGATGCAACTCTTAGATCAAAACCATTACCATGGGCTCCATCAGCAATTCCAGGTATGGTTGAAATTGGCAGTACGTATGAAGATGCTGCCCCTACGTCCCAATTGAGACCGAAGAAGAGTTTCGCGAAATTCTTTAGAAAAGCAAAGAAGGAATAATCAGTAGCGTTTTTGTCCACAAACTTTCCCTTTGTCAATAATACCAATGGGGAATATATTGGGATGTTATATCATACATCCCAGGCGTTTTGGGTTTTTGATGTATATATGTCTTATGAATAATGAAAGTGGTACATATGGAGTAATTGGATATTGGGCCGCGAGATCAGGATTTGACACGGGCTTTTCAGAATAAGGGAACGGTAGTTGAGTAATAATATACTGTTCCTTTCATATTTATTATTTGCATATGTTGAACTGTGCTTGGTCTTTTATCTCTGATTTCTATTTTATTTTTATCTTTTTGGTTTCTCTCTCCCAGGAAAGGAGATGCATCCACGATACCTTCTGCGGCGAAGCAAATTGCATGATGAGGGAGAGCATCGTACCCCTAAAAATTCTGAGACTCTGCTTTTCGGAAATATACGATAGTTTGTATTTTTCGATAAACCAGGAGACATGTGATTTCACAAAGAGGAAAGGTATCATCAGACACAACACACACTCCATTGTGCAAGGACATGTAAAGTTCAAATGACAGGAAACTAATTATTTTACAATCTATATATAAGAGTCTTTTGATGTATCTAGGTACCTTCCATATCATCAAATATATCATACTTTTGTGAACGCTGTGTTTTTTTTCCCTTTCATCCATATTCCCATACTTTTTCTCCCATCCAAGGCGTTTATAAACGCCAAATTTTAACTCCATTGTCTATATTTCCATACATTTACTCATTAACTCCTCCATCTAGTAATCCCCCCCTTCTTTTCAATCTACTAATAAGCCCAAAAGCTATCCGAATCAGTCGAACAATTATCGCATCCATCTCGCGATTGAACCAATCCATTCTCTCTTTCCACCTCCATATCCTTCCTCCTCACAGCATCTAGAACTTTCTTATCCTTAGCATATTGATCGCGCTCACCACTAATAATCCTATCAATATCTCCCCAATTCTCATCATCCGGAGCCATCTCCCTATGCTTCGTCCCCTCATCAGCAATATGCGGACCATCCGCCGCCGTTGACCAAGGTAACCCAGCAACCCACGAAGAGGGCTCTTGGCCCGGGATTCCCAATGGTGCAGTGGTCGCGTTGGAGGTGGTCAGATAATCCGGGGGGAGCGGAGGACTGCGTAATCGTTTGGGGGGATTTGGGAGATTTTCACGACGCGGTCGAGGGGGTGACGCGGCGAATTGGAGGCCCCCTGGTTTTTTGGTCGTGGGTGGTCGTCGGATGGGGCGTGGGAGGTTCGCAAATACTACTTTGCGGCGCGTGGGTGTGGTTGGGTGGGAGGAGTGCGCGCTTTCCCGTTCGGGCTCGCTGTGGTGGCTATCGGTCGTTTTGGTAGTTTGGATGGGTTTGGTGGCTTTGGTGGGCTTGGTAGCTTTGGTGGCTTTGACAGCTTTGACAGCTTTGACAGCCTTGTCAGCTTCGGCAACTTTAGTAGACTTAATCGCATTGATCGCATTGATAGCTTTGGTCGCATTAATCGCATTGATGACTTTGGTAGGCTTGGTATCATTAACAGGATTGGTATATTCCCACTCCTCGGTACTCCTAGATGAAGAAACCGCACGGCCATTTTCCTCAGCATCATACGGAGAAGTCTCATCAAATGTTCGATAGCGAAAGTAGATTCGTCGCGTGAACAATCCTTCGAATTCCCCGTGAGATTCGTAATTATATCGCTGTCGAAGCTTGGTTACGTGGATTTTGCAAAGGTGGTGGAGGAAGTAGCAGAGGGAGAAGAACGCGCAGCATGATATGATGAAGAATAGGGAATAGAGCGTGATTCTTGTTGTGGTGTCTAGAGTCTCTTCGGGTGCGGAGACTGTGTTTATAGTTTGGTTTGGGAAGAATGACGTGGCGTGGATTCTTCGGAACTGAGTGGGTAGTGTGGATGCAGAATAGTAGGGTGGTTGAGTTGATTGAGTCGGATAGGAAGGTGAAATTGGTGGAGAGACGAAGATAGCATTCGACGAGCTAGTTCCTGGTGGGAGGGTACTTTCGGTGAATCTGCCATCGGTAATCATCTTTGTGATCATTATGACGACGTTGAAGTTGGTTTTAGATGGTGTTCTTATGATGAAGATTTGGTGATATCAGGATAGATGATTTTGAGCTATTCAGAAAATGTGATATATGGTTATGTGACAACAAGTATATAATGTAAGATGTGATGAATATGATGTTATTATGTATTCAGAATACTCTGATAAATGTTTCTGTGCGATGCTTTTTCGTGCGGTGTATAGGAAAATATTTTTGAGAGAAGGAATTATTCAAATACATTCTCATCAAATATATTTCTCTTAAGGGTTCGATATGGGAATCGAAACGAACTAATGTTCTAATTCTCACTCTAGGCATGCGCCAGTGTCTGTCAAGCACAATACTAATGACGCCTTCCATTGCTTGTCTACTGTTAGTAACCCCAATTGAAGTCAATATCAGAATACCAGTGGTTGTAATGATGACATTCAGAAGCTTGTTAGACTTAGTACATAGCTTAATTTTTTTGATCGGTAAACTGGGGAAGGATTGTGGAGTAAAAGTCGAACTACTTTCGCTTAGCCCCCCTTTAGTTTTGGAGTAAGTGCTGTTGGAGCCGCGCTAGATTCAACTATATCACGTGATTCAACTCTAGAGCGTTAGGCTAGACATAACTATTGGAAAATATGTTTTGTGTATGCGGTCTTTCAAGAAAATTTGATCAGAATTTCATTCCCGGCTTATGGCTGGGCAATATTAAGTTTTGCATGATTTTTGATTTTTGACTTTTGATTGCTGAATTTGTGTGATTGTAGGTCACTACTATAACTCTACCTACAGTTCTAACACATCCGACATCCAGAAATTCTCTTGCGACAATCTATTTCGCTCACCCATAACTTATGACAAACAACCATAGTCTTTTAGAAGATACTTCTACCAATCTACATTCCGGTTTTATCCCCTTGTACCATAAAACTACCCTTAAACTTATATCCCATCGAAAGATTCCTAGCCCAAAGGTTCCCAGAAAAAAATTAAGAACCCCAAATCTCAAATCTCAAAGCCCAGCTCCCACTCCAAAGCCCCGACCCCGATCTTTGATGTTGTTGAAACTGAAAGAACGCACATATATTTCGAGAATATATTTGATAAATCCGTAATGATGTTTGATGGAAATCAGAGCCGCGCGCTTGTGTTCTGAGAGCCAATGGAAAAATCGTAGATATTAATCCAACACTCTGCCTATTTTTGGTGTGAGAAGTCTTTCATAATAACAGATTCATTCTTTTGGGGATTGAAGTGAAGAATATCAACATACCTTGAAAAATTCTGGGCTCAGCAATCGGCCCATTGACGACATTCAATCGTAAGCAAAATCCTTTGCTTGAGGATATATGGTCCAAAAATTCTCAATTCCCAAATTTTTAGAAATCAATCGATGGCTCTACACTCAGAAGATAGTCTAATGGATGTCAGTGATATGTTCCGATAGAGATGTGAAAATTTCTAACCTTTCAATAAATTCATGTCGCCGATTCAAGGTACAACCATAGTGTTCAAGCCCTTCTCAGCACTGTTACAGTACTGCTTTTCAAAAGTTCAGTAGCTCATTCTATGGTCATTCCATAATTCTCAAGATTCTCGAGTGCAGTCAGACGGAGATCTCGAAGTCTTAAAACATCGCCATATGTCCCCAATATCCTATTCTCAACATCATCGGCAACTGAAGGCTCCAATCCAGCCTGTTCTTTCCTCCAATAAATAGCATCTATGTCCTGAAGATCCCGGGCTATCCAAGCTTCGATAAATTCACAGTCCATTTTACCACCCAATCTGGTACAAACCCTCGCTAGTCTTTTTTCAAACTCTCGGTGTTTCAACTCTTCTTCGAGCTCGCGAGCCATACGCATTTGGATCCTGGCATGCTTACGGCCAGGTACGATTTGAGGAGACCATCCGAAAAATTCAATTGAATCATACATGAATTCTTCAAAGCACTCTCCCATCAATTTGACACGAATAAGACATTCATAAAAGACTATACTCACCGAAAGGGCATGGAGGACTTCAAAGTAGTGTATAGAATCTCCCGAAGCAATCGAGAGGGCGGAATACATAAGCACACCGAATGAAAACATGCCTATCAAATATAATCGAAATTGATGGCAGCCCTTCCAACCCTTTGATCGGTAGTAGATGTACTGGATTAATTCACAAAGTATCCAACATAGTACAAAAACTGAAATACGCTTTAAAAGATTCGTTATTAAGAATATGGCTCTGTAAAGAATTTCATTAAAACTCTGATTCTGTTGTTGGCACATGGTTGTTAAGAATAATTTGTTTGAAGATGAGATGGAATCCTTGAGATTATACAAGAGTGAAGAATGACCTGACTTTTTGATGTACAGTAACCATAAGCAGGGCTAAGTGTCCTCATGTGATGAAATAGTCTAACTGCCTGTACTAATCCTTTTATTGGGTGGGCGAGAGATTATCTTGATTGATTGATTTTATTAACATCCTTTTTCAGTCCATAACTATTTAGGACAACTAGATTATAGGGGCCTAGCAAATACTATTGGATATCTACAATAGATATATTCAATTTGGAGAAGTAAAAACGAATACTAAGGAACTAAGCCCAATCTCTATTCGAAATACAAATAAAGATAATTATTTTTATCCTTTGAGATACTTCCTTTCTAACTCTTTCCCTCCCCTAATCCAATTAAAATATCCCAATATCCAATTTCTCTTTTTTTAAAATCCTAAATCCAATTTGCTATTCCTCTCTTTCTATAAAAAACAAAAGTTATCCCCTCCCAAGTTGCCTCCAATATAGCAAAGGGTTCTCTTGCTAATGAAATAGCAATAAAAGGCATCACTTTTTTTTGTCTTTATTTCTTTTAAACTAATCCTTTATATATTTTATAAGCTTGATATCCTCCAACTCTTATTAGATATATATAATCGAAACTGTTAACAATAATAGAATAGAGCCGAGCCCTAAGCCTATATACAAATCAATTCGGAAAATTCGAAAATTCGAAAATTAAAAGGAAAAACGTTGTATTATATCGATACTCAGAATATAATATTAATTTGAAAGCGATGGCATTCTCTGTATTGTGTTGTTGTGGTATTCGAATAGCTGAAAGCTAAAGAGTAAAAAAAAAAGGGATTGTAGTACGAGTAGAGCAGCGACAAGCTCTATATCGAAAAGACTCTTTTAAAAAGAAAATATCTACTATATATCTTATTTCTATAAAGTAATAATCGATAATAGATATTGAATCTGATTGGGGTTTTCATAATCTTCATATCCGTATCTAAACTGATATTCAACTTTTTATAGATATTGTTATTGTAAAATCGTAATATAATCCTTTGTTATATCTCTAATATCTCTCTTTTTTCAATTCTTTTAATTCCATTTGCAATTCAATCTTAGCTTTACAGACTCTCAAAAGAGAGCTAGAGGTTCGTAGGATGCACCGCGTACAGGTGTTGAGTCTTCGCATCCTGAGAGATTATCTTCTAAAGTAGTTATTTTGAAATTTTTGATGCCAAGTGTCATACTCTATTTCATACTTCTGTTTTTAAGCCAATCTGTAGTGAAGAAAAGCTCTTGTAATCTATTCTTTCCATCGATCTCGTATCTACTAGTAGAATTTATCACATTTTCTAGACTCTGACCAATATGATAAGGATTCCTTAAAGAGATTATGTCGTTTTCAATGATCGATATTGAACTAGTTAGCCTGGAGTCTCAGAAATCCCAAGCGCCTTATGATTGACTTGCACAATGAGAGATGTAGTTTCCCCAATTCCCACTCCGACGAGTAACAACGATGGCCCCTAAGATTCCCCTATATTTGAATATTGTACATAGATTTGGCAATTGAGAGCCTTTGAGAGGTGGGAATTCGAAATTACCGCCAGATTTACACAAATCCTCGGCTAGGAAGCCCAGTTTGACTTAATTATGATTACACGTCATTTTTCTCAATCACACACACGAGCAAAAAATTTATACTTGACCAACGGTGCCCTATACTAGAAGTTAGTACCAGTGAAAATTCTTTCTCTCTGAATGATGAATTTCTTAATCCCCATAAGAATCGTGATTTTGAATCACTTCATCTTCAAGGCAATTAAATAATCCTCAATCATCCAATCTCGTAAGTATTCCCCCCGGTTCGAATCATGAAAAGGTCTAATGATTGAAAAGTTCGAGTTCCAGGATGTCACCATTACCAAAAATCACCGAAATCACAGGGCATATCACAGATGCCATTGATATTACACAAGTTGAACTCACACTTTTGGAAACGCTCACATATGGCTTCTTCGCCCCATTGGGAATCATATGTATGATTTTCATTATTGCCTCGTGGATGGCGATACTCCTTGTCGCCATTCATGATGCAATACAGAATTGGGGATGTAGCTGGTTGGCAGTAAGCGAGAGAAGACCGACGTCGAAACTAACGAACGCGAACGTATATCTCATTTCAGATGATGAGAGAGCGACAAGCCCACTTTTGGATGTCAAAAAATGGTCGGAAGATGTGGGAGAGGGAGAGGACTTTTTCAGCAGCAATAGATTTCCGAATTACGGAACAATAACACAGATGCCGAGGCATGAGACTGATGATGTTTGGGAAAGCACAGCAGCGTCTAAAGAGATGACAAGAAAGTCTTCAAGTACCTATCAAATATAGAGATTCTGGTCTTTGGGGGATAATAAAAGGATTAGATGAAGTTGTTGTGGTCCTGAATCAACACTATGTGAACAAAAAGGGCTTTGACAAAAGTTTATGAGAGGAAAAAGTTTGATGGCATTAAATTTTGGAGAAATATCTTTCGGATTTGATATCTGATATGATAGAGGATCTCATTTTCAGAATTAAACAGAGTTGAATACCTATATACACCATTTCACTGACTCTAATCTCGGGGTCTTGCGTCTAAATCGTGGTCTATCATGAACAATGGGAATATATATTGTTGTTTTAGACATTTCATGTTGTCCTGACTACTCTTTGGACAGGAGTCTCAAAACTATTAGAAACGATCTACCAAAATAACTCATTGTATCATTTAACACTTATAATTACTTCTCTCACTTCTGGCATCCCTCATCTTCCGCCACATAGATTTCCAGATTTGCAAGGATTTAAATATCTGCAGTGTAATTGTAAATTTCTATTACCTGAATATCATCCCTTCTTCTTAGATGATAGCTCCAGACTTTAGAATGATTGATATGATAACAATAGACTCAGAATCAAGTCTTGCATGATTAGATTATGTTCGGGGAATTTGACTTTGCAGATCTCAGCAACTTACCCGAAAAAGTCAAGTTTGTGACGCCCATTGAGAACCAATGTCAGAATTTTCAGCCCTAAGAGTTTTGGAAGTGCCATTAGTGTAACCTAATTCTTCGAATTCTTAATCGGGCATATTTTGCTTCCAATGACAACATTTTTTCACGCATACCATCCGCTTGTGGGAAGACTTGAGTGCTAAATGTCAGTCTCAACGATATTTAAACCAGGTGTACGTCGTCGATCTACATGGACCAATTACCAAGCTTTGAACTAGGATTTTTTTCACAGATGATGAATCATAGATGGTTGTCACTAGATAAAATGTATAAATTGCGCCGTGTTTGCACCTAAACTTCTCGACTTCCAGAAAAATAAATCTTCCTATCCTAATAAATCTAAAGTACCAAATCTACAGCACAATAAAAATGCCTGCGCTACTCAATCTTCACCAAACACAATTGGGCCCTATTACCGAGCCCGTTCTCGATATCGTCAACGCAGTCAGAGATGCAAACGGACAAATACCGAGAACCTTTCCAACCGCGATATTCATGTATGGATTCGCAAGTGGGTTTATCGGTCTTATTCTTCTCGCTGCATTGTCTCATGGATTTCAACGTATTAAAGACGTGAAGTTCGTGAAATTTGGTCCCAGCTTCCCTGATCTGCGAGGAGGGGACAAATTCTTCCTCGAGCAGGAAAATGGTATCATCTACGAGGGTGTTGTCCGTTTTGATAAGTCAAGTTACTGTGATATCACAATTGATGAGGTGATGGAACAAAAGTCAGTCATCATTTCATCCTCTAAGTTAGAGCAGGCGGAGATAGAGGACGTTCAGAGAAAAGCAAAGAGGGAATTGAGAAAGGCGGAAGACGATCACGAATACAAAGCTTTTATGGGTAGCATTTCTGTTCATGGCTTTGCTTCTTTTGTGGATGCTATCGATGCTAATGTTGATAATGTTGACATTGAGGATGATGAAGATGAGGATGATGAGGATGACGAAGAGAAGGAGGAGGATAGGGAGGATGAGGATACCACAAGATAGATGGTGGTAGATTCTTTGAGATTGTTTTGGAGATATCAAAGAAAACCGTGGAATATATCGTGACAGTTGGAACAAGCCCTGATTATTGTGTTTGGGCGGAAGCTTCGCATGTTTCAGGTAATCTTCAAGATATCGAGAGGGGGTAAGGGATTCAATGGCTTGGACACTGTTTAGATTGATAAGGATTAATGGAAGATGGAGTCGAACAGATTCCGGATAGTGGGGTTGTATTATTGGGTGCGCCGATGAGAGCGGGGATTACATGACAGGGAATGGAGGAGCTGAAGTTGAGGTGGAAAGCAGAAACTCACCAGAAACTCACCAGGATGTTGAGAAATTTTGATTGGAGGTAATCATAATGTATAATTCAAGAGTATTATGCGAGAGTTGTTAACCTATGTGGTATTTTTGTTACCCAATACGGGTCCCAGTACTTGAATGTTTGTAGCGAATATCGAGTAATCTGCATCATTTAACCATTTTAAAATCTATCACACCAGAATTTAAAGCTGCTTCAAGTGATACGCCAAAGGTTTTATGATGACCAAGACCACAAAGACAGAGGATGAAGGTTGTAGCAAAACAGGCAAGATCGAAACTGAAAATTAGAGCTAGATGAGCAATGACTTCAATGCTGCCATTACCACAATATTTGCACGCGGCTAGAGTAGATAGTGGGGACAAGGAGAGATATGCCAATATGATTTAGTAAGAATTGCAGATTCCGGACTTCTTGAGGCGGCCGTCTACAAAATGATCGAAAGGAAAGAGACCTTGGACTGCTGCGGATATGTCAGCCACCCATGATTAGTAAAGCTTTTGATGAACAACAGGAATAGAAGACAAACACCTAGTACGAAAACTTCTAGCTACTTTAACGTAGAAGTCCTGAAGTAATTTACAACCGAGGCTTTCCCAGGTCATTATCATGATCTTGTGGTTTCCCATTTCTAAAGAGATCATTCATGGAAAGGCCGCACCGCTAACACTCACTCCATATAGACGCTCGAACCTGAAGAAGAAAAACAATATACAAGATAAATCCTTTCTAGGCTGGATAATACAGACAAATTAGATCTATTGTCTATATCTCCTCATCTCGAATATCGAATAAGCGAGCCTGTTGACGTGTGGTTTCTTGTACCACGACCAAGTCCCAAATCACAATAATTTCTCTCGCACCTTTTCAGAAAAAGTAATTCATTCACCGCACACATGAAGAAGATCTGGTGGAAACCTGGAGTCTAAATTTTGTGCTTATTTATTATGTATGAAAGACATAGAATGATATCTGGTTATATGGTCGCTACTTTTCTCAATGCCAAAATCCAAGCACCTCCAAACTGCTTGACGTACGCGAACATTTCGATTGCTCAGAGTTTTCTTGTTCTTTGTCGATACGGAATTGAATGGGACCTGGAGTTTTATTGAAGGTGAAATGAACAAAAAGTGTGTAAATTAAAACGCCCAATCAATCGCGATCTTGATCTAGGAGGCACAGTTCCGTTTGAGAAAAAGATCAGAAAAGGTACTTTTCTTCGCTCATCAAATGTCTTTAAAGTTTGCATGTTTCCATTTTTATTCTCTTAAGTAACAACATAAGAGAAGCATGCAAATCACATTCGTGACTTCCCGAAATGATGTCTACATCTATCCGTCTTCCTAGTCGTCGCTATTCTCTGCTTCCTCCGAAGCTCACTCTAAGTCGTACCTTCTCCATGTCAAACGCTCAACTTACCCTCATTCTCAAAAAGAACAATATTTCTCCCATTTTTCCATCAACATCACATCATATCATATCATCAATCTCATTGCACAAACTTAAATATCCTACTTTTTTGGTTACTATCATACTATACATACAATATATATATTTGCAAAATACATCACCATCCTCAGTATCGGCAAGAGAAACGCAACAAATCCCGTATTGATTTTCTATACCAGGGAAACCATCCCAGGACATTCTGAGAAGGGTTCCAACAGCACGAAATGCATCATCCATTTCAAGAATACTTTGGACAGGGTCTAGCCAATGAAAATCCAACGCCAAACTACCCTGAGAATCTCAATTTACAGAGCCCACAGCACCATAAAAACACTGGACCGAGTGTTTCGCAGCCTATAAGTGTCAATACTGGATCAGAATATCTGTCAAATCAATTTCATCCTATGATCGAAAATGGCTGGAATCGACCTTCACCTATGTCAGCTAATGGATCGAATGGAGGTCAGCCGATAGGATTCAATCACTTCAAGTCATACTATCCGAACCTAAGGAGTCATAATATAAGCGCAAATACACTTGTTCCCATCGAAGAAAGCGAACAGAGTTCTCAGCAGTGGCGTGAAGCTTTCCAAGATCAACTAAATTTCAATGCTCAATTCCAACAACCTAACGTAAATGCTGGTCAAATTTTGCCTCAAGCCACAATATTCAATGCTCCGACACCATGCCAACTACATCAATGGGTCAATGGAAGTTTAAGAACATTTGCACCCATTGCAGCATATGGCCCAAATCCTCAGCAGGTACAGGGGGAGTTCGATAATGGACTGGGCTTCGGGCGTCTAGACTCTAACGGTGGCTATGCTCCACAATGCAGGATACCACTATGTAAACTACGTGCTCAGTTGACTTCAATAGCTCGTGAGATCAAGCTAAGAACTGTGGAGAGTATAAGTGCAGGTTCAGAACATGCGCAACCTCAGGGAAACGAAATATTCTTTATGCTCTATCTTGTGTGTAACATTTCTTATCCTCCAGACCTGTGCTCCTTATACTGATCTGCAAAAGGTTGTTTTAGGGCAATATTTCCTACAAGGAGGATGCGTTTGGTATACCAACCTTCCTCCTCCAGCCCCCAAGATTCTCACGTCATCTCGGGCCACAAATTCGTTTCTTTCGAGCCCTATCCCGTTTAAGCTAGACACGAGCAAGAGAAAGGGTCAAACAAATGATGGAATTGATGGAAACCAATGCGCTCCTAAGGAAGTAAGTCCAATCGATACTACAGACCGGGACACTGCTCTTCATGATCCGAACTACTTTGAGCTCGATGACGTAGGTTACCCTGCTCCTCTGGACTCTGGAGGTAGTCTCGTTGATCCAGACTATTTTGATATTTGTTCAGAGTACTCTCTTAGTATCTCAATAAATGATGGAGGTTCTCGTTCTTCATCTCCTTCCCACAGGCCTGGAAAATCGAATGGTAGTCTCTCAACACCCCTCAGGCGAGTCCGTTCTCTTTCACCTTGTGCGCCGGTGTTTGTCCCCTCGAGCGAAGGTCATCAACCAGTTTCGAGTGTCAATGAAGATCATGGACCGCTGGAATCTCCAGACAATAAAATATCATCAAAGAGTCATTCTGAACCAGCAAAAGCTAGAATTTACTCTCCATGTATGAAACGTGTTTCGCTTGTGGATGAGAAGATGCTTACAGACCCTTTTGTCTCCAAAAATTCATCAATTAAAACCACTCCGTCTGTGAGATACATTCAGCGAGATCGATCCTACTTGTCGACTCCGCCGACTCCCATTAGTCCTTTCCTTCACACTAGCCCATCCGCTCTCGGTAGTCCATCCCCTAGAGAACGATCTGTTGCTCCGACACCAATGGAGATCCTTAGTAACATCTGTTTCATCCGTACGAAGCCCGGCTCAGGAATAAGGATCTGCATCCTTCCGGGTAATACCTGGGTTGATCTTCCCCAGATAGGGATTCACCACTATGACCAAGATTTACCAGAAATGTGAGTACACGTTACCCCTACCACGAGCAGACTAGCACCTAACTTTCATGCAGACATTATGTGATGGGTTCTGCAAGCTGGTTCTACTCACAGCCATGGGTTCCGATATTATATCAGGAGATTCTTACTCGTAAATCATTGAAAAGGTTTGAGAAACTCAAAGAAGCGGCAACGCAGTCTGTCCTCGAGCTATCGACTATACCAACTGGATATGTAGACTTTTACGGAAAACCTATTTTTTTTCAAGCAGGCAATTCTAGGCCTGAGCCTAAAGCAGTATCGTGCCCCAGTGGCGACGACTTGGGTGTCAACTGGAATGCGACACCGGCCGAAAGGAAGAGGATTAAATTAACCAAGTTAAGACAAATGTGGGAAGAGTGGCAAGAAAGAGCGCGGGATGCAAGGTTCTTTTGGCATCTTTGGGAGCAATGGGGCCAAATAAAGGGCTGGACAGATGAACATACCAAACGCGGAGATAATGCAAAGGGAAAAGAGGTGGACATGCCGGATCATTATAAATTGATGAAGATAGTCATGTTCACGTCTAAGAATGGATTTGGCACCAAACAGATTGGCCCCGAGGACAAGAAGAAAATTTGAATGGAAGATCGATTAAGCAATTTAACAGAGATTGGGAAGAGAGACAGAGAAGATTCGGTAATTCAAATTGGTGGAAATGAGAAAACATGGAGGTCTCGAAGTAAGGAATGATTACACAGCGATAATGTAATGTAATCTCAGCGAAATGATCGATTAGAAATTAGCGTATGGATTAATATCCCAATTTTGCTGAATTCTATGGTGCACATTGGGCATTATACTCTCCAAATTCCACGTGATCCACCTCGCGACTATTGTGTTGACCTAGAATATTCAGAGTTGCTGTAGGAATTGATCAGCACAAAGCATGGATGGTCACATTTAAGACTCCAGACTTTGTGGCCATGTGCGATGTGAAGCAAAGAAAGCAGGTAGGCTCACCAGTTCCCGCGCCCTCATCCCTTCTCCACCCAATTTTTCAAGTCCGCCCATAGGATCCTTTGCGAACGTAATCAAACTTCTCATCATCTCCTTACTCAACCTTTCTTCATCTCTCGTATTCGAAATACCACTTACATCCCTGCCCACACCGTGCCACATATTCAAGTCACTCGAATGATACGCACCACTTGTTAGATAAAGACGCGTGTTGTCGAAATCTCCAAAATATCTATACAAATAAACAGTGATATTATGCTCCAAGCGTGAGAGGACAGATTGGATCGCGGAGCAAGTAAAGGTTTTGAGGTTGAAGAGATCCCACTGAGAGCGGCTGAGAGTGATGTTTTGGGCAAAGGCGGAGATGGCGTGGAAGCCTGACTCGTGATTCGCGTTGCCTACTAGGTATGGTAGTTTAGCGAATCTCCCAGCGATGGTTCTGGTAGCATAGTCTGAAAACACAATGTTCTCGTCGATTGTTGGTGCGAATTGTGTTCGTGGTAGAAATTCCGTGGGTGTCAGAGGTAATTTTTTGATGGCAGCCAAGATGGTTTGGTATGGTATCTCCTGCATGCAGATCACAACATCTGTTTCGACGCCACTCTCGCATCCGACTAGAACGGAAAGCTGATCCCAATATGACTTGCTCAATTCTGGACTATTAAGTTCGTCATTGATAATTCCGGATATGGACATGAATGAAGAAGCAATTGGATCATCTGGCCAGGCAAATGCATGGTAATGAATAGATAGTCCACCAACTGATTGTCCGTACATGAGGATTCTAGATGGGTCTCCTCCGAATGATGCAATGTTTGCTTTGACCCATTCGAGGGCGAGTCGTTGATCCAAGATTGCTAGGTTAGCGCTGGGTAATAGTGGTGAGCCTGGGAATCCAAACACGAGCAGTCGGTAGCTAGTATACTTTAGTTCGTCAGTTGAATAGGTTGGAAGAAAAGAGTATATACTCAATAGTCACAACAACGACATCACCAGTAGCAGCAAGATATTGTTCTTCATAAAATGTGTTGTTGGTACTGCCGGATACAAATCTCCCGCCGTGGATGAAAAATAAAACTGGCTTAAGCTCTTTTGGTGATATGGATGAAGTCCATATATTGAGTGCTAGACAGTCTTCACTGAAACTCCAGACCCGTCCCACCAGTAGCTGTGGCATATATGCGGTCGAATGTGGAAGATTTGTTAGGGAAAGTGGGGAGAGGTAGAGCGGGGTTAAAGGGACATGCTCTTGGGAATGATGTTAGGTGGGGACTCAATTGCATGAACCTATTAAGCGCAGTGGAGGATGATCCGCCATATATGCTCCGAAGTATCCGCTTGCTAATATATTGTTCCTGACACAAACTTAAAGTCCAAAGAGAGCAAAACCTACGGTGAATAGTGTGAAGCCTTGTATGTATCAGAGGAAATGAATGGAACTGGAGGCTGAAATCTCAAAGAGCTGTTGGTTGCCTGAGCATATCGAATACCTAGGAATTCAACAACACCACTTTTGTTTCTTGCAGGATGTCCAATGACTATTCCACTTGTCGTTTGCACACGAGGGATCGCATTTCCCCTAAAGTCGACGGTTGACGAGACAAGAGTCGCAAAGAGAACTGTCCAATTATGGGTAATGACCTTCATATTGGTGAACTCATATGTAGTATCATATGTAATACGTCGTCGATACTGTATGACATTTCGTGAAGTCTACAAGATGGTATTGAAGGTAGTGAAGGTATTTTGATAGTAGGATTTGTAACACAGAAGCTCTGCAGAAGATGCTGGTGGTGCGAGGTTGATATTGATATCTGGATAATCCGGATAAATCCCGGAGAAGATCAGATACATATGTAACAGGGGTTCGGCAAGGCCCACTCAGCCTGATCGGTACTTTCGATTTATACCTTGGCATCAAACACACCTACCTCTTCACTACTCCTAATAGATATTCAAATATTCATTAGACAAACGTTCTTTTCAATAATTTCTTCTAGTATGTCTTCGACTGTGCCCCCTTTCTGCAGACTCCCAGAAGCCACTCTACATTGAGGACATAAAATGGCAAAGTATCAAAGAAATCCCTGCCCCCGTTTATCGCGATCGCCCCCTGCTCGAAACCCTACCAACCAATAAAAGCATCATTCTTCCCCGATGCGGAAATTAACCCTGTATTCAGCGCGCCACTTAAGGGTAGTATTTTTGCTAGTTGATGATCTACGGTGAAAATATGCACCATAAATGATAAATTGGCACATTTGAAAATCACGAAGAGCCCCGAACGTTTTGCTTCATATTATTTATTGTTAATTGTTATCCATATATATTCCTTGGCATGAGCGGCTGGATTGGATCGATGCAGACGACGTGTATGAATAGATGAATGGAGTGTGTTGCGATTGAGAAGTGCTCGAAAGAAATTAGTGAGAGATGGCGATTTTGAGTGTGTTAGCTGAAGGGTTGAGGTTGGAATTCAAGAGGGAATTGGTAAGGTCTCATCAAGTCTCCAAATTTCCCGCTCCGGCAGCAATCTTTACTAACATTCGAATGTTCTTTTGTTTTCTAGAATCAGAGTTCTGATCCAAGAGTTGGTTCTTCAAGAGATAATTCCACAAGTTCGACCTTAGCAGCTGCAGCATCAGGGTCCAATTCCTCGTCATTCTCTGCACTGTTTTCCACTTTAATACCCGTGGGCGTATTCGCTGCAGTCTGTACCATCTCATTTCTGGTGCTACGGAGGAAATATCCAAGAGTTTATTCACCACGGACTTTCTTGAGTAGTCTAGATCCTCAGTGAGTTAGATGCGCTTGATGACAAAGATTAAACTGACCTCAGAATAGTGAACGAAGTAAGGAATTACCATCTGGATATTTCAATTGGATCAGACCCTTTTTCAATACTCCAGATGAAGCGGTTCTCAATCAGTCATCGCTAGATGGGTACTTATTCCTTCGATTCCTCAAGATTATGTGTGCAATATGTCTTGTAGGATGTGGCCTTGTATTTCCCGTCTTGATACCTTTGCATGTACTCGGAGGTGCTGGCAACGAACAACTTGATCAATTGACATTCGGAAATGTTGATAACCCAAGAATCTACTATGTACACGCGTTCCTGGCATGGCTCTTTTTGGTGGGTATAATTTTCTAAATACATGAACTTTACTAATAAATAATTAGGATTTATCATGTATACTGTCTCCCGAGAGTGCGTCTACTACATTAACCTCCGCCAAGCATATCTTCTCCATCCGTACTATTCTAAGCGCTTGTCATCGAGGACTGTTCTATTCACGTGCGTTCCACAACAGAATTTGGAAGAAACTAAATTACGAAAGGTATTTGGCGATTCTGTCAAGCATGTTTGGATTCCAAGAGAAACCCGAGAGCTGCAGGATTTGGTGGACGAAAGAAATCAAACTGCTTATCGATTGGAAAGGGCCGAGACAGCATTAATAAAGCTTGCGAATAAGGAGAGAAACCGAGCACTCAAACATGGCCATCCAGACCTTGAATCGAGCATTGGTATCAATTCTGTTCAAGAAATAAAGCGTGGATCTTCAGATATTGAAAATCGTAGACCAAGCTTAATCAGAAGTCCAGCTGATGTAAATCCTAGGGACATTGAGGTTTCGGAAGATCCCATGTCACCTGCAGATATACTAGTAGGGCCGACTTCCAGTCCAATCAATGTAAAGGAAATGGAAGCCAGCGTGACCGAGAAAGCAATGTCGCAAACCAATTCTCAAGCAACCACCGACGAAAATCCCACAACCCCGACTTTGAAATGGGGAGATAATGGATACGGAATGTCTGGGCCTCCTCCTGGAGTAAGTGGATCAATTGCAGCACAATGGATTCCCCACAGCTGGAGACCGACACATCGACCCTTATCAAATTATGGAAGAAGCGTAGATACCATCAAATGGACACGAGCTCGACTGAAGGAAATCGCGCCACAAATCAGCAAACTGAGAAGAATGCATCGACAGGGAAAAGTAAAGCCATTACCTGCCGCGTTTATTGAATTCGATACTCAGGTCAATGCTCAATCCGCCTACCAAACATTATCTCATCATCGAGCATTTCACATGACACCACATATCAATGGAATTCGACCACACGAAATCGTATGGGAATCGCTTCGCATGAGATGGTGGGAACGTATTATGCGTAATTTTGCGATCCAAGGTTTCGTGGCCTGTATGGTCATATTTTGGTCCATTCCTTGTGCATTGATAGGAATAGTATCCAACATCAATTTCTTAACCACAAAAATCCCATTCTTGGGTTGGATCAACAAACTTCCATCTTCAATTCTGGGTTTGCTTACGGGCTTATTACCAGCTCTAGCTTTGACATTTCTTATGGCATTAGTTCCTGTCATTCTACGACATTGTGCGCGTCAAGCTGGAATCCCGTCTTATTCGATGATTGAGCTCTACACACAATCTACTTACTTCATATTCCAAGTTGTACAAGTATTCCTTGTAACAACTATCACTTCTGCTGCATCGGCAGCATTCGAGAAAATCATACAAGATCCCACTTCTGTGCGCTCACTACTTTCGCAAAATCTACCTAAATCATCAAACTTCTACGTTTCGTATTTTATCCTCCAGGGCCTCGCCATGTCCGCCACGAGATTATTGCAACTACCTGCTTTGATTCGTCACTTAATGTTTCAGAATGAGCAAAACCCAAGGTTGATGATTAACAAATGGCACCGAATCCGAATCGTCCATTGGGGAGCTGTTTACCCTGTGTTCACAAATATGGGCGTAATAGCCATAACATATTCGCTAATAAGTCCGCTGACAATCGTATTCGCTCTCATGGGTTTATATCTCATCTATTTGGTATCGAAATATAATCTCCTCTACACCTATTCCTCTGAGATATCTACACGAGGACTGCTGTATCCACATGCTCTCAAGCAACTCCTCACAGGTGTATATCTTGCGGAAATCTGTCTCATCGGTCTTTTCGGATTACGAAGCGCATTTGGCCCGTTAGTGATCATGTTCGGCTTAACAATCTTCACAGCATTAATCCATATAAGTCTCAACGAAGCACTCGGTCCACTTCTCTGGAATCTTCCCCGAACCCTTGCTGTCGAAGAATTATATCGCGGACTTGCATTTAATTCGGATTTGCAAACACCCATGCCGACTATGGATCGTGGCAATGCCGCCCATAACGGAGATGAAAATGGGGATTCATTTTTTCCTATGCAGACACCTGTACAAACTCAATCCCAACCAGTAGTATCAACATACATCAGCCACCGCACATCCACAACACCCAATCCACACCCCACCATCTCCGAAGAGACCGAACCCGAATCCGAAAACCACAAAAACTCCTCTCCCCACGACGACTCCGACTCCGAGCAAGAAGACGAAGACGAAACCGATATCCACGATCCCAACCCCCAATCCCGCTCCGCAGCCAAACGAATCGAAGGGCTTCCGCACCTCTCAAAACTAACCCTCACGTTCCTCCTACACGCTCTAAAATCCAAAATCCAACCGCATCTGCACCGCCTAACCCCCTACCTAACCTACCTCACCCCGCTCATCTCCCCCATCTACGACCCCTCCTCCCCTCCCAACTTCTTCATCAAATTCCTACACCCAGAAATCTTCTCCGACTACCATATTCTCCGCGCCCTCACTGCTTCTTTGCCGCTTATGCCCTCCGGTTTCGAGTATACGGCAAAACAGCACGAGGATGCGTATTTTCCGCCCTGTGTAGCGAGGGGTCGAGATCCAAAATTGTGGATTCCGAGGGATGAGGCGGGGGTGAGTAGACAGGAGTGTGAGCATATGAGGAAGTTTGCGGGGATGGAGTGTAGTGATGAGGGGGTGGAGTTGAAGTTTGAGAATGAGAATGAGGAACAGGGGAAAGGGAAGGGGAAAGGGAGATGGGGGAAGAGAAACGATGGGACTATCGTGGTGAAGGATTTACAGGCGGAGAATTGTATTTGGGTGAAGGAGACGAAGTTTTAGATTGGAGGGATTGGAGGGGGCACTGGGATGGAAAAGGAGGGTTCCATGAATGTGATGATCATGATTGGGAATTTTGGTTGGTATACTATGGCGTGGTTTTGGATGGATGATGGAATTACAAGGCGTTATATTGAGTATATAGAGAAACATAATTTCATTCAATTTTTAAATGTACCTTATCTAAATAGTCTCAAAAAGTCTTAAAGTTGTACTGGCAAGCTTTCCCAATTTCTCTAGAGCAACCATTGGATCATAGTGACCTCCCCCCCTCTTTAATCTATCCACGTACTCATGTCTCACCACAAGCCCACCAGTGAGTGGATGTATGGATTGACGGAATACTTCCCAACTATCGAATTTTATAACAAGTTCATTCTTCGATTGTTTGATATGAGAAGTTATAATTTAATTGTCACATCTCAAACAAATAATCGTAACAATATCTAAAATACATATAAAAGCTGATATATCAAGAAATATCTCCAAACCCTTCAAGGTTTTCTGTAGTATCCCCAATATCTGAAATTCCCCGCACTTCAACTAGGTAGGTACCCCAAGCTTAATGAAAATAGGCACTAGCTACCGCTTTCGTCTTAGCCCACGCCTTATCCAACGCTTCCAGAATCTCCTTCGACAATGGTTCCTTTTCCAGATCCACCAAATTTTCTACCAAATGTTCTTCGCTGCTCGCTCCAATAATAATTTTATCCCCTCTCTCCGTCTCAAGCCCACTATGATGCACCAACCATCTCAATGCACATTCGCTCTCGGTTAACCCCTCCTTTTTCGCTGCTTCTCTGATGATGTCCAAGGCGTCAAACATGGTATCATTCCAGTATCTCTTCCTATACATTTGACCTTGCAGATGCGAATCATCGAAACGAGAAGTTGCTTCGACGGATTCCTGATTGCGATGGTAGCGTGAAGTGAGGTAGCCGCCGGCGATAGGGTTGAAGGCGTAGAAAGACATGTTGTATTTGTGAAGACAGGGAAGGAGCTCTGGTTCGATGGAGCGCTGAATGGCATTATATACACCTTGGTATACTGAGGGACGGATCCACTTTTTCGGTGTCAGTTTCGTTATTCTACAATTGAATGACGGTCGAAGAGACTTACATTGTTTTTGATGCAAATTTCTTGAATGTGTGCAATCTCCCAAGACATGTAATTACTAACACCCAACCTGTTGAATTTTCCTTCCTTGTACAAAACATCGCACATGGCAAATGTTTCCTCGTAAGAAACACTTCTATCTGGTCCATGTAGATAAAAAAGATCGACCTTTTCAACACCTAAAGCTTTCAAGCTTTTGTCCAAGTGAAGTCTGAGATCATCCGCCGAATGCGTAATCTTGGAACCAGTCATATTGTTAGGATACAGTTTGGTAGCCATAATGATACCACGGTCAGTGTATGAGGGTTGGAGTTGTCCCAGATATTCTTCTGATGAACCCATGCCGTAGACGCGGGCAGTGTCTATTTCATTATGACCATGTGACTGAAAGAGTTCGATCATTGAAGAGACATCTTTAAGATCATGGACTCGAGTTTGCATGACACCTTGATAAGTGTTAGTTCCAGAGCATTGCAATTCAGGAGGAAAACGACTTACCAGGCTTCCCAAATGTCATTGCACCCAAGACAATGGGTATCTTAGTCTTTGCTTGTGTTTCTGCACCCATATCTGCTGATAGTACCAGTATTTTTGTGTAAATATAGAGACTGAAGATAAGAACTGTGATGAACTTCGTTTAGAGATTTGGAGGAAGGCCGAGTTGGTTCTTTTGTAGGGTTTGTTCGAGATGCGAGTAGAAAGATGGTCAATTGAAATTAAATGGGAGGTTGAAGAAAGTCTTTATATATTTCTTCTCAGTACTGGTCAACAAATCAGGAATTTATTATTTATTTGTAAATTATCCCCCATCTGGCGATAACGGATTTTACGTGCAACTTTGGTGGAGTTAAGATTTTCGGCCGGAAAGAGATCGACCGTTTTGTTACCGAAATCAGTCGGGATGTAACTCGAAAAATGACATTTCGATGATGTAAGCTAGCATCCATCAAACGTTTCTCCTGCATCTAGAGCTAAAGCATATATTGGAAATATGGATTCTCCCTGTCGGTTAAATCCTGAAATGCCATTTTGTCCCTACTCACTTGATCTAATCTGCAGGATGTCAGTCAGCACGATTTGATACAAAGTGACATGAGAGGACAGCAAGATATATGGAGTAGAAGTAGGTATGCGAAGTGTTCTGCCAATTCAATACAGCGAACGTGAAAGTATCCTGATATCGTCTAGTTAGATAAAAGTGGTATAGACTTACTCCATTAATGCTCTCTTGCGATTTTCTTTAGTCAGCACAGCATACAACACCACTGCTGCTATAATTGTAATGCAATAACTATCTCGCATCAGTAATTTCACCGTGTGTTCATTCAATTTGTAACCTACCAAATGATTAATCCTAACCAAAGCTCTGGATAATGTCTTGATTTCGTTTGTGATATGATCAATTGAGGTCCTACAATATTACCAACACAGTATGCCACAAAAATAGTCGCTGCCATGAAACACTTTTTTGTTTGACCTGCAACATTGGCCATACCAATCGTGATAATCAAGCTCACTACAGGACCAAAAAAACCAACAATAGTATACCCGACAACTGGAGTAGCTGCATGATGATGCCAAGAACTTCTCCATATCATTGCACATCCAGCAATAACTGGCAGACAACAAATAACGAGGAGGATGATTCGTATATTTCGAATATGCGATGAAAGATAACCAGTAAGTAAGATAAAGATCAAACATATTGCCCCAAGAGGAAATTGGAACAAAATAGAATCTAGAGTTGAATACCCAAAAGTAGAAACGATGAGAGGGCCAAAACCACTGACTGCTCCGTTGACAGTGTAAGCGGAAGCCATCATGATAGCGACGAGCCATACTTTGATATCCAGTAAAGATTCCCTGATCTGATACCACTTGAACTTTGTGCAGCGAATTCCGGTTTGACCATATCTTAGACGTTCCGTAGCAACCATACGCTCATCTGTCGTAAGAAACCAAGCTGAGACTGGGGAATCTGGTACGAAGAAACAACAAATTCCGAAAAGGAAAGTAAGAGACCCGGCAAGTAAATAAATGTACTGCCATCTTTTAAGGTCTCCACCATCGATTTGTCCGAATCCATAATTCAGTGCACCTCCAATAATGGTGAAAGCCCCAGTTGAGGAAAACCACCAACTCTGTCTTAGAGATTGCTCGGATTGTGTGTAAAAGGAACTGATTATACACATGAATCCAGTTGGGATGATACTTTCGACAAAACCAAGGAAGAACCTTTGTGCATATAGACCGCGCCAATTTGTTACAGCAGCTGTGCACATGCAGATCAAGGCCCACAAGCATACCACGATCCCTATGATCCTACCCATATTAAATCTTTGCAAGGCAAATGTCATTGGGTATAGACCCGCCAACATGCCAAAGTAAAAAAGTGATGTTGCCCAACTAAGACGAGAGGTATCTGTAGTATGAGGGGTCACATTGGTATTGGCGATGGAGAGAGATAGATCAGTCGTCATGCCAAAGAGGACTGCGGATCCTAAGATTGCCTGAGAATTGTTAAGTTTGGAATTGATCTAAACAATGAAAAAACTATATCCTACCTTGTCATAATAAACAAGCCCATATCCAATGAACATAGCAGGGACCAGATATCGATCTATCTTTCGAACGACTCGAGCTTCTACCGCGGGGTCAATTTCATGACGATGCTCTCCCACCACGGCGATAGCGATATCTTTATCCTGGTCGGCAGATGGTAGAATAGGGCCATCTTGAATTCTCGGAGGCTCTGACGGTACCTGCTTCTCCTCCGCAGCTCCAGCTTCAATGGGAGAATTCATTGCGTGTATGATGAATGGCACATTGATGAAGCTTGAAAATATTTTGATACCTGGATAAATAGAGCCGAGTCTAACCTAAACTAACCTGAACCCTACATGACGGGAATGTCAAGGGATGGCCCGTAGCTTGGGATCTGATCTGGACTCATCGTGGCTTGAAGGGAAGACCTTTGGTACGATATCGCACAATACAGTATCAACTGATTCTTCGTTTTGAGCTTGTATGGTCGAGGGCGACGAGTACCTGGTAGTTGAGTAAGGAACCCACGATGTTGTATTGGTGTTGTATCAAAGTAACTTCACTCAAGTAGGTACGTACTGCATTTTGAATTACTCTGTGGAAGTGATCATGGACGACTCACGACCAGCTCATCGATTGGACCATCAAGATCAATGATAAATGAAGATATAATAAATGCCATTCGCCGACATGCTTGAATTAGTATCGTGATGAAAGCTTCAGATATCGAGGCTGGTGTAGTAAATTTTATGTTCTATCGTACACCGAAATCAATTGATGTCGTCGTGATTGAGTTCTATCGTAGTTTCAGCTACTTCCCGTCCCACTGTACGTAGGTCTAGGCCTGACTAGCCAGCCGTGCGGTATCGAGAAAAAAATTATTATTGTGTAACATTGGAATGTCTTTGTGTAACATCAGCCACACCAATTGAAAGACATGATTTCAATACGGCGAGCAGTTAATAAGACTGCGCCATTAATAAGAACTTCAACATTTCCCATAAGAAATAATCTCATCATCCGATCATTAACGACGACCACCCCTCCAAATCCTTGCAGGCAATGGCAGGAAGAGACAAAGCAAACTCGAACGAGAGTGAATATCCGATACTTTTCCAATTCACCCCATACCTCACCAGCCCTCGCTCTACACAACCAAACCGTCGAGAAGATATCCACGAATGTACGACAATTCTACGATCGCAAACAGAAATTCCGTATCAATCATGGTTCTACGAATAGCACACGAAATAATGGCAAAGGCAAAAACATAATCAATATTGGCGGGTTATCGCATGTATTGGAAGTCAATCCCGCAACGCAGACAGCATGGGTGGAACCAAATGTGCCAATGGATAGACTGGTAGAGGAGACATTAAAATATGGACTTGTGCCGCCAGTGGTCATGGAATTTCCGGGAATTACTGCTGGAGGAGGATATGCGGGGACATCGGGTGAAAGCAGTTCTTTTCGACATGGTTTCTTCAATGAGACGATCAATCGGGTTGAGATGATTTTGGCAGATGGTCAGGTTATTCAATGTTCGAAGACTGAGAGGCCTGATTTATTTCATGGCGCGGCGGGAGCGGTCGGAAGTATGGGAGTTACAACGTTGGTAGAGTTGCAGTTACAAAAGGCGAGGAAGTATGTCGAGACTACATACCATCCGGTATCTGATATGCCAGATGCAATCAAGAAGGTTGAAGAGATGACCGCGGATCCCACGATTGATTATGTAGACGGAATCATGTTTTCGAAAAAGAAGGGTGCTATTATTACTGGTCGTTTGACAGATACCCCAACGGAGAATACTCCAGTACAACGATTTAGTAGTGCTTCGGATCCTTGGTTCTACATGCATGTAGAATCTAGTATCGACAACAGCCAATCCTCCCCCCGATTCGCTATACCTCTCGCAGAATATTTCTTTCGATATGACCGTGGAGCGTTCTGGGTCGGTGCTTCGGCCTTCAAATACTTCTCATTCCCATTCAACAAATTCACACGTTGGTTTCTAGACGACTTTTTACATACACGCATGCTATATACTGCACTTCACACCGCGGGAATGCCACCCGGGTACATCGTTCAAGATCTCGCATTACCATATTCTACCGCCACAGAGTTTGTAGAATACACCGACGAATATTTCGGTATCTATCCCTTATGGCTCTGTCCCCTAAAGCAAAGCCCTATGCCAACCATGCATCCTCACTCCGCCTCCTACGAAGCCGACGGTAAAACTCTCAAGCCGCTCATGAACATCGGTCTCTGGGGCTATGGAAAAGAAAAAGATTTAGTAAAAGCCAACATCAGTCTCGAGAAAAAACTCAAAGAGCTCGGGGGTATGAAATGGTTATACGCACAAACCTACTACAATGAAGAACAATTTTGGGAAATGTACGATCGCAAATGGTACGATGGATTGAGGGAGAAATATGGAGCAACCACCTTACCAAGTGTTTATGAGAAAGTCAAAGCGGCGCCAAAAACAGAGGTGGCGAAGACGCTGAGCATTTCGGAAAGGATCCTAAAAGCGTGGCCTATCAGTGGATTTCATGGCATCTATAAGGCGATTCAGAGTAAAACTTATCTAGCAGCAAGGGCTTCGGCATGGAAGACTCTTGATCTGGCGGCGAATAAAGAGAAAGAATCTCGTTAATTGCGATTTGAGCCTCCGGCTAAGTGGCAATGTGTCTCATCGCGACAGAAGAGTATTTACCCTCGTGATTCAGCGGAAACTGTACATACATACCACATTTCAGCAGAATAGACGATGTACAATATAGCATGTATAGAATTACAAAGGTAAAATGTTGAAGGTCATTTGGATTAAAAAAAGAGCTGCGACATTTTATCGCATGTGCATGCACATGTAAGTACATGTACAGCGGATTGTATACTTAAAAATCTCCATTTCACTACGCAGTCAACCGCGAAGAAAAACCACAGTAAGGAGGGCCAAATTGTCATTATCAATCATCGATTGAGTGTTCTTTACAAATCTCCGCATTCATTGCTTTCTCACAACCACACTCAACCCGCAAACCGAATCACAACATACCACCCCTCACCCCCCACCCCCCTTAAAAATCACCACCGGCTCCCCTAATTTCTTCCAAAGAACCCTACAAGCATCCATACTCGTAATAACATAAATCGACGCATTCCAAAATCCCTGCAGCGGTAACACAAAGACAGAAATATACTGAAGCGACATATTAACCATGCCCGGGTACAAAATGGAATAGATGCGATTAGCAGTTGATGGAATCCACGTGACCATCATAGCGAGGAAGAACAGAAGCGAGACTTTCGCATATGCCCACATAGCCGCGTTAGCTTGTTTATTGGGATGCACACTTGTATATGATGGTTGAGCGGGGGGTAATCCCGGTCTGGAGGGTTTATCGGAGGAGGATTCTTCAGCGGAGTTGGTGGTTGGGAGAAGTTCGGTTTGAGAGCTTCTGGACTTTTCTCTCCGTGCTTTGGGTAGGTTGTCTGGTGATATGCGTTCATTTGCTCTCATGAGTTCCCGTCGCTTGTCGAAGATCTTCTTTCCTGCAAAGGTGTAGATTATGATTGTGATTAATATAGTGATCCTTCACATAGTCAACCAAGAGTCCACAGTGGTGAAAAGGGGTGAAAGGTGTAAACATACCAAACCGGTACGTAAAAGCTCCAGAGTCTCCACAAACCCCATTTGGTCTTGATCCAGCACCATGATACAGCACCTCCATACATAGAGCCGCGATTCTTTGTATGCACAAAGAAAAATACGAAAGCGGGAATGAATGGGAGACCATAACATAGTAGTATGTACCACTTCTCCAATTGGCGGAGCTCTACCACATCGAAGTGGAAGAAAAATGCACACATGACGTTACATGCCATGGCCAATGTCCAATATGCATCGGCTGGGAGGAACCTTTTATCCGTTAGAAATATATTCTTGGAATTAAGCTGTGAAGAATGAAAGAATGTACATCTGAATGAGAAAAGCCTGGAATTGACAAAATCGACCATCTGGATCCGCGAGTGCAGAGCGAGAAATCAGCGTAGCGAGATTCGTGAAAATATTACCCAGAGACGCATAGAAAAACTAATCGATTAATGGGTTTACGAAATGCGGTGGTGGTAAGAAAGGTTATGATTATGAAGAAACAACCTAGGAGAGAAATTCCAGAACATGTTCGTTCTATCGTGACGATGTTGGCATATTCGTGGCTGGTGATGTTTTCTGCTGATTTCATTTTATGGGTGTCTTAATGGGGGAGGTGCAAGATCGGTAGCGAATTGATAAGACGTGTAAATGAAGTAACAATAGCGGAGGAGGAGAATGGTGATGCTTAGGTAGAGGGCGAATTTGCAATCGATGGAAAGGAGAAGAAGAGGGTTTGGGGGATTCACAGGTAAGGAATAATTATGTATTGGATAACAATCTGAGGGTTGAAAATGCAATCATTGATATATGTCGTGAGTAAAGAATCCATATCGACATGCTGGGTATTCATAAATGTGGAAAGCACTTTGCGAAAAACTTATCAGATAGACTGCATAGCAGTTTCCTCGCAGTATGAAATGTGTGGATTGACATTGAAAAATCGTACGACGTGGCTATGTGACGATAGTCAGAACCAGATGAAGATGTTGCAAGTAATCGGCACTAATTTTGCAAGGTCTGAATGACGATGAAGATGTCTCCAATTGTTTAGGAAAGAAATAAGGCGAAAAGAGATGAATCTGTGGGAATGGTAAGAGAGTTCATCGTGATCTCCCCGCTGTTTGACAATTATAATCGCTAAAAAGGGCAGGAATGCTGAGCTCCGCGACATGTGATAATCAAGACGGAAGCATTCTGTGACTCTAGCAATTCTCGTTATTAATCCAACGGTATTTTAAGATTTCGTAGATTGATTCTTTGAGAGCCCAGGTAACCTTCTGATAACAGGATATATGCCCGAGGATTAGTTGGTCAAATATCTCGAAAGTGTGTTCTGGATTTCATTTCATAGCCATTCCTTTTCCCATTCTGGGAGCCTGGAATGTTTCCAACATTATGGCCATAGACAATCGCTTGATATCGGAAGGGTTAGAATGATGGCGCTAAATTTACCTTGTTCAGATCCTCTCACCTAACCGACTTTCGCTAATTTGGGAAGCCTAGTACTTGTGTGGGCTGAGGGGCATTTGAGGACCTGACTCTTATCTTTCGAGACCTGGAGTATCTCTAGAGTATTTTTTTCAAGAACGATAATTAGGCAGAAGATATTCCTCACATTACAAAGGTAACGGGAATATCTGATTCTAGTGACATTTCTTACCACTTCATCATTGAATATATTCACGATACTGAAGCTTACAATTACATTATCACACCAAATTCCAAATCTTTCCCTTCTTTAAATATTGAATAAATAATAATGCCAATTCCGCAGTTCCTAAATGATCTCAGACGCACAGAAACCGAAGTTTCAGTACCTAAATTTGATACCAACAGGAGGATATGGACAGCTCAAACAATTATAGAAAGATGGTGTGATAATATCGAAGTTTTCAAGCGCTTGAATTTTAGAGCGACAAACAGTACATGTTTAATAATTATTGCAGCTCAGAACGAAGACGAATTCAACGCAATCTTTGAACCCTTCAAAAAAACCATCAGGGCAATCGGCCATACACCTATTGCACTTCAGATACAGCAAAAACATACACCGGAACTTAGCAAACCGTCAAAGGGATATGAAGCTTGTATAGAAGGTTGTTGTATGCAGATCGAAAATATGCTAAGCGAAAATGAATCGGATATCAAGTACTTTTTAGAAATGTTCAGGTTCCATGTTCATTCAGTATATGTAGGAACTATCAGAAATTACATCGACTTTGGGACTTTTTCTGACAAAACGGTAAGAACGATAGAGCATAATGTCGCCGTATATTCCACCTTTGCTACCCTGCACAGGTCTAGTACGCCAAGAGCATTTTCGCAAATTTCACGCGGCATTACAGTTCCTGGCCAATTTCTCGAAGTGGGAGGGAGTTCCAAAAACTTCTGGGGTCATGAAGCGAACAATTTAGACTGGTATAAGATTGCGCTTGATACCGGCAAAACCAGAGGCACAATTTTGAAGGAATGTACTGCAGGGTTCTTCGCGAAGCATGCACATGACCTCTTTAGGTTTGACGATGACAGCATCTGGGGGATATATGGTGCGACGAGCAACTTCTCTGTTTATAAAATTGATTACAGTAAAGGGGATATCATTAGAATTGAGTTCTCGTCAGACAAATCCAATTCAGATACAACCGGATCAGAAAAAACTTAAACGACTGCACCAGAGCCGAAGAAAAAAACGATAGATGGATCCAATTCAGCTATGCCCATAGCAGTTACATCCAGATCAGATAAACCCAGAACGACCTCATTACACCCAAAGAAACCTACACCAGATGGATCAAAGGCAGCTATATCCAAAACAGCTACATCCAGATCAGATAAACCCAGAGCGACCTCATCACACCCAAAGAAACCCACACCAGATGGATCAAAGGCAGCTATATTCAAAACAGCTACATCCAGATCAGATAAACCCAGAGCGACCTCACCATACCCAAAGAAATCCACACCAGATGGATCCAAGGCAGCTATATCCATACCAGTCAGACCCAAATTAGTTACACATAGATCAGATAAATCCAAAGCAGCTCCCTCAAAACCAGCCAGATCCGGCAAAGAAACAATCAAAGCAGCTAAAACACAGTTTGATAAATCTCTACACAAATTAGATCCACGCAAACTTAATTCTTGACAACGTGAAGGCTACAAGCAACTCGAAGGAAGCTAATCCCCAAGAAACCAAAGCAGCTACATCCAATACAACCAAAGCCAAGCCAAACAATTCTAATCAAGAAATTAGAAAAACGACTGCTCGAGGCGAGAACGAAAGTGGAAGGAGAGAAGTATTCATGGCAGGCGTTGAAGGTGGGAAGCGTTGCCTTTTAATAATGAGATTGATCTGTGTTATGAATTACGGAACGCTTTTATTACATAACAAACGTGTTCAGATGGCACAATACAACTAGATAAATTACAATAATGATCCTTCCTCGCTGATATCTTTCTTTAATTCTAGAGCAAAGTGATTTCATGTGACAGTGATCAAAAACATCGAAAATGTACTAAGTTTTCGCGGACTATATGTAATTGTAATTGACAGACCTAGAATTTCTGGTCTGAGAATTTATACAACATCAATGATGGTAGTGACAATTGTTGATCCGTATTACGTGTTCTAAAAACCCTACCGTAGGATAGACGAAAGTGCATGCCGTGGTGAGTGACGGTTGCAAACTATGTAGTTCATCTGCCTATGTGTTCTCTCAACCTTATGAGAAATTTGACTGTCATAGGCAAGAGGTCTTTGTATTGGGTGGAACGAATAAATGATTAAAATTGTTACTAGTTTGCACGATGAGTCGGAAAATATGTTTGTCATGATCGTTAAAAACATCCCGAGATTTTGATTCCAGTCATGATGATTGATGGCTACTCAAAGCCGTGTCAAAGAAGCAAACTCGGAAGGAATATTAATACTCTTGAAATAAGACATCGAAAGCACCAGGCAATGTTTATCACGTAGCTTTGGAGGGGGCTCCATTCACCATTGCATACAATCATTGGTAGCAAAATCAGGGGTGCTCGCTTCTTACTCAAAAGACCAGCATTGTGGCACGAAGGTCTTGTCCTCCTCCTTATGGCAGTGCTGGAATCAAATTGATTCTGCTCGACTGTAATCAAATGCAAAGGTCGAAAGGTTCTGAAGACTAGCTGGGAATTGAAAGAGACTGTCAGATCTTCTGTTTCGTAACAGAAAAGGAGTGGAGACAACCAGTTATTTTCTCAAGTAGCGTTACTTCATTTTGCACTGGATTGAAGGACAAATAAGCTGCTCCCACTGTGAGGTAAATCGGGGATAATGACATTCCAAAGATCTAAAGAAGGAAGTGCTGACATGAATGTAGACATCCACACCAAGAAATAGTGAAAATCGACGGCTTAGACAAAAGTTATGAGAAAGAGACAGCCTGAAAGACCCTTTCAATCCCGTTCATTCGAGCTCCACCATACCACCAAAATACACTTCGTCAAATTTGTTGAATGGATTTATATTATATATGAAAGCTTCGTCATACATACGGGACTGAGCATCATCTTTTGGTCGAGAGAATCTGATTCTGTTAATCCAGGTATAGTACAATGCGAAAAGAGCTTGGGGATGACCATGGAGTGCCTCACAGGTCTTTGGACACTTGCAGATTATGTCCAGATTATTGGATTTTGAAGTCTCGCGAGTGATGCTCTGGAATATCATAGGAATCTGCTGCATCGACTGAGTTTAAACAGCTTCAAGTATTGACTGCCCTTGTTTATCGACTCATAAATGATGATGGCAAGCTTCGCAGATGGCTTGTCGGCTCTTCAGTAGATGCTTTCGGGATGGACTACCTAATCATCCATCAAGGCCCAGATCAATTCTAGACAGATATGCAAAAGTATCATGTTGCTTATCCTGTAGCTGACGATTCAAGAGTCGACGAGTTCATCATGAGCAATCGAGCAACGATGATGTGATATTATGTCGAAGTTTCGGTAATGCCAAAGCAAGTAGTTGAGGGCGAATAGTGCTGCCATGGGAGAAGTTTTGGAGATTCGTTCAATAGGGGTCATAGAGGAGGAGGTTCGCTTGTTCCTCTACTTGGAGCATTCTAGTAGTCAGTAAGGGAAAATGTTGCAGATCTTTGATTGAGCTTGACTTACTTGCATATGTTCTTTACAAAAATGCAACAACTGTCTACCAAAGAACAACTTTGTCAGCCTCGAGATATGCTACATAATGAGAGATCAGACGAGAGACAAATAGGAGTCAATGCAACTCGGATCTAATTGTTCAAAATCTCCGCTGCTCATTAAAATCTGTTCAATTATTCACCAAGTGTACAGCCTTTTATATATGATAATTCGTCAAGCTATTTAAAATTTCAACCTTTGTTAAATTTTCCCTTCCCTCCAACCTTTATACAAACTCTTTTATATCACCACTTTGTGGGATGATTTGATCAACACTTTCTTTCACACCAAAACATCAACCTATAGAGCCCCTTCTTGAGATTTGAAATATCAGTCACTCTCAGTAACTGGTAATAGAGGTCGTTTTTGTGTTTCTAGATCTTATTTCTGTTGAGACGCAATTTGCAAAGCATTGACTTCATGCTTTCGGACCTTTTCAACCTTCCTTCCTCTATCGCAACATATATCACTCCTTTTGCATAGTATTAGGCTATTCTTTTGTTTGGCAAGCACATGAATGACCTTTGAGGTCCCTCTCATCATCTCATCGGCGTCTCTAACTGAGCTTAGCTTCTTTCAGACTGGCGTTACGCGCTTTTCTCACAATAACCTCGATTAAACGGTCAAGCATCACGCCAAATCTCACTTGTGCCTTGCCTGCCGTCTGTTAGTATGTCTAATCCAGTTCTAGTCCTTATTAACCTTGCACCTCGCTGGCGTCGCTAAATCATATCTTCCTCTTCCAGATCAGTTTGAAGAACCTTCTCCTCAATTTACTGCGACGCAAGCGCTAGAATACCTCTTAAAGACTCATAAGATACTTCAAGTATTCTGTAAGTACTTCTTATTCATCAATTAGTTCCAGTCAACTTAACTAACCTGGCTTTAGAAAGACTTGTTGCGCCATTGCAACCTCTCGGTAACCAAAACTCCACGTCGTACGACAACTTCCTCACATTTACACCTCTGTACAAATACCTTTTTGAGTATGAACAACAACGTCAATAACTGGCAATGGGGCCAGCACGCTGCTCCTGCCCCTTTTGGCGCCTTCTCTGCTAGTCCAAGTCGTGGTCAGCATGGTGCCAACTTCGACCGAAACGCTGTGATTGGACCTTATCGCTCATATAACCTCGTCGTTCGAGATTATCTTGTTGGCAACTTATCCACGTCACACTCACCTCCTGATTACAGGGGAACTCCCTATGAGCATAGGGCTACATTCTCTAACCTGATCGGGGTATCTGGCGGTCCAACTACCTATCCTGCTCTTAATGCGGTTGCTGCTAACGCAACTGATACCAACGAAGCTATGCGGGCACTAAGCCGTCTAGATATTGATGCGGCTAACCGTAGTCAAGGTCCTACTTGGGAGTAAGCATCGCCCTCCTCCTTACTTTATCTCCCTTCCCATATATGATCTATCCGATACTAACTATTATAAAACAGAAACACGCCAATGGACATGGTTTCGATCTATATCAAGGGAGAGGATGGCTCAATCGACGGCCCTCCTTTTAACCTCCACAAGTCGTTCTTCACACATATTTCACCATACTTCGACGCTGTCTTCAACTCTAGTTTTGCCGAATCTGCCACACAAACTCTCCACTTTGCTGAGTCCAATCGAGAGATATTTGCCATGCTTGTCGACTGGGTATACAAAAAGCAGCTAAACACTCTGGCCGCATTTGAGCTAGATGATCGCAAGAATCTTCCCGTCGGTATCGGCTTGAGCACTCTTCAAGGTAGCGATCTCGATAAATATATCAGCGAGTCTCAAGAAACTGCCTTCGAACACACCACCAAGCTTATCGATCTCTGGTTCCTTGCGGACAAGGTCTTGATGCCGGAGCTACAAAATGCCGCTATCCAGGCTATTGAGCTTCTCCGCTTCTTCACTCCGTTAGAAGGTGTTCCAGCTGAGAACTCCCGTGCCGTCTACGATAAGACACCAAAGGACTCCCCACTTCGCAAGTACCTTTCGTATACTACACTTCGTCGACTACATCCTCAGTCAGCAGACAAAGGCGAGGACTTCCATCCTGACATGCTCGTCGATATCTTTGATATCGTCAAGGTAGCTGGAGCTGATGCTAAGCTACGTCATTACGGCTTATCCGAGAAGGCTATGGAGTCGTTCTTGATGGATGTGAAGGGAGGAAGCCACCTAAAGGCTAATCCTAACACCGTTGCACCTCTTTCTGACGACATTTGGGTTGGCTTGTGGGAGGTTAGAAGAAATGCTTTGAAGTTCTAGACATTTCAAGCAAATTGCGGCAATTTTGGGAGGAATTTTGGTACATTTGGATTCTTTTAGAAGTACCTTTATTGGAAGAGAGATAGACAGATTAGATAATAGATTGCCTAACACTAATACACACCTTTTTGGCCACTATAAACTAGTACTATGATGCATTGTAACGAGGGCGATAAGCTAACTTTTGACATTAATCGATAGAACTAGATCATGATAATGATATAAAGTAAGTGAACTCGTGCACAAGTATCGAGCTTGGGGAAATCAGTCTCAAAATGGCTCGAAATATACACCGAATACAGTCAAAATGATGAATTCACAGGCTGAACTTGGGCTCTGTTGAAGTAACTTGTTTCCAAGTTTGTCATTTTTTCCGACGAATGACCTTCAAATTTCATCAGAATGAAGATAATTTTTGCTGAGAATTTCATCGAAATGACCTACAATTACAGTGCACCAGCATATAAGTATAGAGCTTAATGCCTATAATCTTATGGTCATAGGCCATATCTCCGAGTATAAGGCCTATATTTACAGGCCCTCAACTGAGCTTTCATCGGTCATTTTAACATCTTTCATGTATGAAAAGGATTGAACGAGAGTGTTTTAAATGTTTGTAGCTGGAGCCAAGTCCTGGAAATTGACATCTAATCTTTCAATTTCGAATGAGTTTGATATCTACGATGAGAATTGACTTAGAGATGTCAATATAACACTTTCACGATTTGAGATACAAGTCGCCTAATGTTTTTGGTCCTCCATTTCACGAGAGGATTATCGTTTAATACTCTCAACATGAGTATTTTTAAATCTCTGAATAACAAAAGATATTTTGAGCATACTGCTATACAATCTCACGAATATAGAACAAATTTCTTTGTTATTTGCTACTGACTTATTCATTATATAACTAAAGACAAATCTTTAGGAGATAATATCGTAATTCGTTAATTTAAAATAAACATTCTCACGAGCTGGTAGTAATAAGTCCATTTTGTTGTGGAAGAAGAATTCGATTGTTTGCTATTAAGACAAAAAAAAAAGTAACATAAATCAGTCATCAAATTTAACGGTTCCTCTATATAATTCGAGTACTTTAGATATTTCAGATTTATATCTCAAGCTGATCAGACTAAAACGTACTTGAGTAAAGAAAAGAAGGAATTCATTCGCTTATACTCTCTGGAGTTTGAACGGATATAGGATTAGTATCGAGATAGCTCTTATATTTCATATAATAGTCTCGGAATATCGCTCAATAGTCGCTTAAATAAGTACGATTCGCGTATGTATTTGTATACTATTATTTTATCTTCAGTGCGAAGATACATCTCTGAACTAGATAATATTATATCATCTGATCTATAAGTCTGAAAAAATGCGACGCGATTTGGAAAATTCTCTCCAAGGAAAGCTGATATTTGAGATCACTATCGACTACGAATTGTGATGAGTATGTATTACAAGTTTCTATCGAGGTCGAAGACTTCCGAATTTATGATTTTATCATTCTAGTAATACAAGACGAGAGTTTCTATATTATGAATGACTTTAGTAGACAGCAATTTCTATCACAAGATAAATTGAGCGACGATAATATAGATATACAGCCCCTGATTATATATTCTATAATCATGTCCTGGTTACTTTCAAAGTTTCAGATCATAATAGACTCGTTGATTATAACAGCTTAGTACAATTATATATTCACAGATATTTCATGAAAGTGAATATATCTAGACTATATCTAGATGTCTAAATAGAAATCATAAAACTCGGAATTCCTCATCCGTCATCCCGAATAGTTTCAAGAGGAGTCAAGCTAGTAATGAAAACTTTTGATGTTTCCAACATGACGTCATCTAGTATATCAAAAGAAAAAGTTTAGGAATGGAAAGCCAAGTTGATAAGTTTCCTCTCCACTTCTCCACGATGATAACAACCTCATTATTCAATATAAGGTTGTTAGTTGAATTCTTCTCGTCTAACGAATCAAGCTTCATGCACTTCGAACGTCAAAATTATGATTCCCTCATCAAGTCAATAATCCACTTCAATTCAGTAAATTGCAGAATGATCTGAATCGACAGTAAAGAAGCCGCTAGTGTTTGAAAGCAATCTGAATTAATGTTACTTGAAAATGAGGGTGTAAGAGATATGAGTTCGAAATGCATTGGTCAACATTTTGAGGCGCATAACAAGACCAATATCAACGGAATTTTAGTTCCGCTATATCGTGTCTTCGCTCGATAAGCATTTAATCACCCTGTATCAATGGGTGTCTGAAAATTCCTGCAAATTCACTTGAGGTTCAGGTCCCCCACTGTCAAAAATGTTGGTTGAATCATTGTTCATCATAGCCGCCGTCTTTATAACGTCACTTTCTCAAAATTGCTTTGATACATCTAACTAATTAATTCGCAGTAAAAGTAGTAGCTACATCCCTGAAGAATTTATCAAAGATTGCGGACTGTCAATTCTCCGCCTTTCCTAATATGTGAAGATCTCGGAGTTATCTGCTCCTAGGCTTTTCATCAAAGAAAGCCAACCCTTTCGCTCAGAGTCTAAGTTCCTCCTGAACATGACTATTTTCTTCATGAAGTGTCATGAAGTGTCATGAACACTGCACTTCAACCTTTCTAGACTCATTAGGTAAAGTTAATTTCTTAATTTTTTTTTCCAAGTCTAATTCTTTTCCAACACGTGAGCTTTGTCTGTAGACCAAAAATTTGGTTAAAGCATCGTGATGATCTTCTTTGACAATTAAAAAGCATCGCCATGACTTAAATTCGTTGCAATTATGACTATCGAAACAACAAGAACAGAATACCAAAGATTTGCATACTGCAAAAAGGTTGCTAGTAAAGCAATGATGATGATCTTCCAGAAATATCGAATTCTGTGTCTTAATATAAAAAAGTATGATAATCCCATATCATGATGACGTTCCCAGTGGAGATTAAAGTCAAGATATTCGAAAAAAAAAAAAAAATAACATGTCCGCATTTCAACGCAGCGTGAAAAGTCGTGTGGTTCTCGCGGTAGATAATTCGTACTGGGGCCAACCTACTATTCCCAACGGTGCAAAATTATGGTCGGTGGTCATCGACTCCCTGGACGATGGATATGCTTACAACTTTACCGTCACTCGCTCAATTGAAGTGCGCTATTTGAGAGCAGATTATGCAAGACTAAGATCTGCTTTCTCTCTTAAGCGTCTTGGTTCCTACACAAACTCTGTAGACGTCGACGGAGATGTTACATTTGTTGCCAACTCACTTTGCGTGGCCCTCCAAAGGTTCATGTATAACGGAAGTCATAGAATACGGGGTGCAACCTTGCCAGTTGGTATTTGGATAAATTTGACGATGGTTCGTCCATTCATTTTAATACCACTTTGAATGTTGAAGCAGGTCCAACCTACGGCAGTTTATTCCCGGGGCTGTCTCCTCTTGATCTGCATCGGTTCATTGATATGGCGATATTGTCTATGGACATCGAAATACCGTCTCTTACACCGAAGCAGGTAGATCAAGATGTCGCTTCTATCGAGAACAAATTCATAGAGGTTGCTTCGATCAACGATATGTCATATCGAGCTTTGGGCCCTGAATCTTCCCTTTTTGATGCATACCCAAGTCCCAGATCATGTTCCTGGACAAGAGACAAGGCAATCGCAAGGATGCTTTTACATGGACAGCAACCAAATGACGGTAACTCAAAGGTTCTCGTGATCGGTAAAGATAAGTCCATGCGTGTCGTTTGTGCCTTACGTGCAGAAGAAATTGATGTGCGGTTTCTAGAATTCGATGGAATTTGCTGCCGGGGTTCTCAAAAAAACGAAGAGTTCAATTATTCCCAAACCGGAGACTACAAGTTTAAAGGCGAACAATACGATATGGTTTTTATTAACAAGCCAAGTTCCACAAACCATGCAGTAGATGCTCGTCAAAAGTGCGAGCTTATCTCGTCATTACGCAAAGCCTGCAAGGTTAAAGGATTGATAATTCTGTCTGTCCGTTCGATGCCCACGATATCTGGCGTATTTGACATCATAGAAATTCCCGATCAGAGCGCGATCGATGAAGAGGCTATACTAAGTTTTCGGAACACGCTTGGCGGAACACTAGATCGCGAGGATCCGCTCAATTGTGTCATTCTAGCCACCGTTTATGTCACCTATGACGGCGCAAACACGCGGTATCGACTGAATCCACCAGATCATCCAATATACTCAGAATTTTTCCCCAAACTATCGGACGAGAGTTATCATCTTATCTGCAAGCGAAATCAGTGGAGTGATATACTTTTGGCTCGGTCATACCTCACAGCGGCTTTCCAGCGAACCTCCACTAAGCATGTGCGACAGGCAGAGAACCCTCTACAATGCTACGCCGCTTTGAAGGTTGGTGCCCCTTCGCCACTTCCAATCGGGTTGGAGAGAATCTTTCACCCTTCCAGTGCTGATATGATAGCATACGAATTCTTCCACCATATTTCTTCTCTCGCAATCCCCGATTCCTTGAAATGGTAGAAGCACGTTACGATGAATTGTTGGATCTATGTGATATCAGTGAAATTGATGCTCCTCAAAAGATCATATCCCAGTTTTTGGGCAGTGGCTCTACCGCCCTCTTGTACAATCTTTCTAAATTTCATGACATGCTGATCAAATCTCATGACGACGACGAGAGCAAAGACTACGATAGAGTGTTGCCGTTTGAAGCTATGGCAGTCTTATGCTCGATATCATTCTTCTGCATCCTACGCATGTATCTATGCGCCTATAATGAGATTCTTAACACCTCTCTGAACGCTTGAGATCTCCAGGACTTGCTTTGGAGGCTGACAGCATTTGGAACATGGGAAGAGAAGCGGTGGTACATGGTGATGAAGTTCCAACAAATTTTCGACCCTTCAGTATCAATAATCTCGGACGACAGTGAATAATTCTAAAGCAAAATGAATCAAGCAAAGGAAAAACTTTTACACGATATTTCCAGTATTTCCAGAATGCCTAGTAGGTGATCGACATCAAAATTGCAAGACGAAAATGAGAAATGAACTAGGGAAAGCACATGGGCATATTAGCATAGTGTTGGTATCAACTTGGTGTTGATTAAAGTGTAAAGTACTTCAGTCTTATCAATATGATTGATTGTATTATTCGTCTTGATCATTGTTATCTATCAGAAGCTAGTAATTAATATAGTAGAAGTGCTAGCGCTAGTGCATACGCTAGTGCAATACGGTGCCCTCTTTAGATCACATGATCGATATCCCGACACATAGCAATGGCAGAAAGCATATTGAAAATGGAAGTTATAGTTAATTTCCATAAAATCAAGGTTAATGCTTCGACTAATTGTAAAGATGTAGACTGTACTGCCATGCCAATAAGAGAAGTGATACCTTGCTGGCATGTTCGATGAATCATTTGACCCGAAAGATACACTTTTTTCTCTTGTTAGAAGAACTCTATCTCGCAGAAACAGCAACGAGCCAAAATGAATGCTTTGACAGTCCTCGAACCCACAATTCTACTCACAGAACCTTGTTCTGCAGTTTTGCATCTACTACAACAGGCATTGAAGTGAACATAGATGGCCATTCCAAATCCACCAGATCTTGCTTACCATTGCGACAATATCGCAGCCAAATTGACCAGGTGATATTATTGTACGCAGCTATTCCTGTCAAAATATGCCTGTATACATTAGCTTTCTCTTCCCGGCCACTGAATCACTGAAGATTAAAAACTCACCACCATCCATGGCCCTCCAGGAAAATTCCCCACGGTAGTCCCACTTCTCTTCTCCACCTTCTAATCGTCCCACAATAAATGTTATCCAAATTCCATATGAAAAATGCGAGAGCTACGTAAGTTAATCCTATAACATTCAACTTCCACATCTGGCTCAAGATCTTGCTATCTCTCTCGTCTCTTCTTTTTTGCTCTACTGTAGTGGCCTTTTCGTCTTTAACGCGACGCTTTGGATTGAGTATATGCTCCATTATCCACATACTTCGGAATACCACAATAGCGGTGAGTAGTGCAAACATGTTTTGATGAAAGACTGGGTCTTGGAGATAATGATAGTATAGAGTAATAAATATCGCAAGCGCAGAAATCGAACAAGCGAGAACGAAACGCGATAAAGGGGATTTCTGGTGCGCAAAAACGGAGTAGGCTAGGACGCACTCTAGATAAATCATGGCCAGTTCGTCCACGAGTTGCATAGGGTCTAGAGGTTGTTAACTTCTTCCGTTTGTAGTAGGAAGAAAAGGGAGGAATATCGACGAACAAATCAATGTAGAATGGAATAACATGCTTCCAACTCCAATAACCAGATAACTGAGGAAGGCAACAAGGAAGACGCGGTCATGACCATATCTAATACAGCTGGAAATTCCCTTCCAGGCCAAAATCACAAACATCAAATTGGTAATCGTATTCACAATCTCAGCCGAGTAGATTGTAGCATAGTAGTCCTAAATGGGATGTTAATAGTGAGTAGGGAGAATTAGAGAGAATGAATAGTCACGTGCTTCTTCGCACCAATTGATGGTTGAGGTTACGGGGCCCCAGTAACCTGGGCCGGAGGAAGGGTAGGGCGTTGATGGTAGCATGTTGACAATGCTTGTTTGGCTTTAAGAAGATGCCGCTGTTGTTCCCTGAGGATATAGATGGGTCTATAACTTAGAGATTCTAGAAAGATAGAAGAATTATGATAGTTCGATGGATTGAAAGATTAATAATATGGCATTATGAGAAACAAGATTTCTTTAAGTCCTTTCTCATCAAGAATTCAATCTAGAATGCTGACCAGAAAATAGATATTCACTTTGCAATCTACAACATGTGGCCTTTCGACAAGTGAAAATTTCATCGTCGAGCATAAGATTATGCTGCGTCACGTGATAGTGTGCAGAACCAACAGTTGACTTTGCCGAACCTCGGATGAGAGGCTCCGTGCTTCATCACTTTTCATACTATGCAGGACATCTATCTTTTTCACTCCCCCCTTTTTCTACCGGAATCAAAAGGTCTTTATCTCTCTCCAAATGCAGTCAAATTGTCCGATTTCTTTTGCAGTCTCATCTTTTCTATTGCTTCCATGAAGTCATTCTAGATTTGACAGTGTTTCAACCCCAGGATAATAGATGACAAGGTACAGAGATTGAAGTGTCCACTGAATGATCCACTTTCATCCGTGGAACCAGCTGCCATTGAATGTTTCGATATGTTTTAATTGGATCGCTCGTGGTGACGCGTGCTGCCCACACTATCATTAGATATGGAAATGATGAACGGCGACGACGATAAAGTGATACGCGCAATGGCTTTAAGGTTATTTGTTAAAAGGTCTAAGGGGCAGACGATATATAAATGGGAGCAAGAGCTTGTTTTTAGCTTTCCCCGTTTGTATTTCGTATTTGGCGTGTTGGAGACTTCTGAGGCGTTGTGACATTTTCCATTGTTGGTCAAGATTTTTCGAGATATTGTCGATCAGTATAGTTGATACATAGATACTCAATTTCGGGCTCTACGCACAACAAGTCGGCAACATGCGCGATGAAGGAACAATTGCACTCATTCCTCATCCTAGTGATGATCCACGAGATCCATTGGTAAATACACCCTCGCACTAGCTAACAACCATGATACTAACATATATTAACTAGAATTGGCCAATGAGGAAGAAAGTACCTATCGTCGCTGCCTTATGTCTCGCGACATTCGCCGGTTGTGCGGGTGGCCTTGCTGGTCAATTGATTCCAGCACCACAAGCAAAATTGTATGGGGTTGAGACCACAAAGATGGCTTATCAGGTACGTGAAGTTTTCTAGCAAGCACCAGGAAACTTCTAGATGGTTGGAATTCAATTGACAAAAACGGAATATAGACATCATGTTCCAATGCTGGCATGATAGCAGGATCTTTGATCCTCTTTCCATTATCTCACAAATTCGGTCGTTCATCAGTAATTTTCTGGTCCACCGTTGGAGTATTCATCACCCAAGTCTGGGCAGCATGCATGACACACTCCACACAGTACGCCCCATTCCTTGCTTCCAGAATAATGGCTGGATTCTTTGGAACCATTGCTGGTATACTTGGTCCTCGTATACTTTTTGATCTCTTCTTCTTGCACCAGAGAGGCCGTGTCTTCACTTACTTTTATTGGGCTTTCGATTTCGGCACGGTGGCTGGTCCAACGCTGTCGGCATTCATATCAACAGCTGGGAAGGGATCATGGACTTATGCATTTTGGTGGACAGCAGCGCTCGCAGCTTTAGCAGCGATAATGGTATTTTTGTTCGTATATGAGACTTCCTGGGACCGATCGGAGGGGGCAGATAATTCATCGATCGCGACGCCTGATGGATTCATTGCGAGCAAATTTGCAACTTTTTTCCTGGGGACGAAAGTCACAAAGCAGGCCAGTTTGAAACAGGTCTTGGGGGTCGCAGCCAACCCATTTTTAATCATGGCTAATCCGTCGATGATATTACTGGCAATGTTTACTCTGATTAGTTTTGGTTTCTATGTTGCTATGAATGCAATCACTCCAGTTTGGTTACAGAAGGGCGTGAAAGAAGGAGGTTACGGATTCACCTCCAAGGAAAACGCTCTATGTATGTACCTCTCTACTTCTCAGATTTTTCTAATGAAAAGTTATCTAACAATCACCAGTTTCTCTCGGTCACTGGGCAGGAATAATAATAGCCTTGATCTACGGCCACTTTGTCAGCGATCGCCTCCCTCTCTGGATTTGTTCTCGAAATCGCGGCATCTGGAAGCCCGAATATCGGCTATACGCTCTGATTCTCCCCGCCTTGATTTTCAATCCAATCGGTCTTGGTGTCTTCGGCGCAACGCTCCAAAATCATTGGAGCTGGGGCGTCCTCATTTGGGCACAGATAATGGTGACATTCGGATCTTTATCCATCACCCCGATTACTGTGAACTATGCGTGTGAACTCTTCACGAAAGCTCCTGCTGAGACAGCTATTGTAATGAACAATTAAAGAGTTGGATTTGGATTGTCGGTAACGTTTTATTTTACGCCTTGGGTTGAGGAATTAGGGTTTAGATGGACATATGGAATGATGGCATTTTTGCAAGTGGCGAGCTTTGGGTTCGTTGCGATACTAATGTGGGAGGGGCATGAGATAAGAGAATGGAAAGTTGGAGGTTTAAGTAGCGACGAGGAGGGCCAACATGTCATGGAGAAGGGAGAGAGTATAAGTGAGCGCAGTGTGGGTAGTGAACAGCAGTATGCTGAGGGTGAAAAAGGGAGTCATCAGGTCTGATTGTGTACAATAATTTACAATCAGAGTAACTAATAGTCCGGACTGCAGTCCAACAATATAAAGGTTTGAATATTCTAAAGTAGTTAGAAAACTGAAAGTAACTCAATATTCCAATCTAACTTGATATCTCTGATAATTTAAATGTTCTGATTGGTTTAGGGATTTAATAACTTACATTGTTGAACTGCAGTCCGGACTATGGGACACTCTGCGAGTCCTGAGTGCCGAAAAAGTTAATATTGTATTCCAATAAGACTAACATTCAGTTATAAAGTACAAATAAATCACAAAAGAAGAATAATCACAAAAAGAAACACATAGGAACGCCAGAAGCACCTAATCGTGCAACATATCCATCATCAACCCAAATCCACGAAATCCCTCCACCCCCTAATCCATTCCCACCGATTTGGAAATCCCCACGATCTCTTTTGATTTGTGCTACTAGAACTCTCACATTCACTCGTACTTTCCGAAAGACTCACACTTCCATCCACATCCTCCACAATTTCTTCTACCTTCCCAGTCACAGCCACACACTGATCAGCAGGGACTCTAATCCCCTTTGTCAACAGTGCCGTTCCCGCAGGCGGCAACTCATCTTTTCCTCTTGACGCAGGAACACGTCCTACATACGCATTGAAATTATAATTTCCACACGCACATATCTCTGTTACATTTCTGGGACTCGTTTCCTGTACCACTATTTTTCCTTTCCTCCAGAGTCCGAAGATTTGGCTTCCGACTCCCATGGGCACGATAAAGGCATTTACACCTTGCACTGCGTTGAATTGGAACGCGCCGCTTCCGGAGACTACGGTGACGTTGCCGGGAGATTTGAGGAAGGCGGTTACGAAGATACTGTCGGTTTCGGTTTCCCAGCCGTTGGGTTTGCCGTTGAAGTAATCGCCGGATGAGTTGGGTGCAGCGAGCATAGTTGTGTCGGTGGCGTCGCAGTTGAGAGAGAGGGGATTGGGACGGTACCAGTAGACTATGAGGTCGCGTTTGATATATTTGGAAGGGGAAGCGGCGCCGGCGTGGAAAGCGCGGATGAATGGGGTAGCAAGGGTGAGCCATGCTCCATGAGGCCTGGATTTGTTAGCTGCACACTTCAAAGCGAACTTGATTGGGGTAGTTGAAAAATCTTACATATCGTTTGTCCATTTCGAATTTCCATCATCAGTATGTGGTGCAGACAGCGGTCCCACATAATGGCTTTCTCCTACTCCAAATCAGTATTTCAAATCTCCAAACAACGCAGAGCAACTTACCATAATCATTCCAACTAACAATTTCCACAAACCTCGCTCCCAACCCCAACAAATCCTGCCATCTCTGAACCCACTGTCCCTCCGCTGGAAATACCCAATTCTTACTATACGACACCTCGGGTCCACAATGCGTAAAGAACCACGGACTAACAGGCGCAATGTAATCTTTCCCCGCTAACGCATTCATATAAGCCACATCACCATCACGCACCGTGAGATTCGAAGAAGACGATGGCGCTTTGTTCGCCCCATTGTTAGGCCAACCCATCCAATTAAACGCTGCATCCAGCTCCTTAAAATTAGACGACCCAGGGCTAAAGTTCGGCGCGAAAAAAATAGGAACACCAGCTTTAGCACGCACATCTGCGACATTGAGAGCATCTCCAATGAAAGTCGAAACAAAGACTTTATCATCCACAGATAATTGTGCAGTCTGATTAGCATATTTTGCTATTTTCCCCCCTACTGCTGATGAATCTGCCGGGTCCCAAGAACTGAAATCAAAGGACAAAAAGACTTTCATGTGGTTTGTAGCTGCGGATGCATAGGCATAGTCGAGCTGTGTATCTGTGAATGCGTCGGCGCCGATATTCAGGGCAAATGCGTCGATTCCCGCGCGACGAGCGAGTTGCATGTCTTTGTCGTAATCGGCGGAGCTGGCTCGGTTGCTTACAATGCCAACCTAGGGGAGTTGATTAGTTTTCATTATTTCGCTAGAGAAGAGTGCATACCATGAAATGCGCGAAAACATAGCGACCGGGAGAAGTCTGATGGGTCGAATCTTTAGACGAGGGATCAGCAGTAATGAGTTGAATAGAGTTAAGTAGTGTGAGAAGCCATGGAATGGTCTTCAGAAAGAAAGCATTTGTCTGCATAATGAGGTTCATTGACCGAGTTGCTGTACAAACTTGAGAACGAGAAACTGGCACTATATGTTTGAATGATGCAGCAAGTTTACTTTGAAGGTTGCAGTTAGTATATCCACATAATGAAATTTCATAGTGATACATGGAGGAATATCAATCGCAGAGATCACGAACAAAGGAGAATCCATGTATGGCCTAGTAACTTGCCATCCCTTTGATTTTCGAAGAGAAACGAGATTTTGATTTCTTTGTCTACTACAGATAGCCTATGATTCTTTCTGTTAGATTAATCAATCAAACCCCGATCAAGCTAAACCTCATGAAACCACGCACTTAATTTTCGCTTTCCTCTAGCACACGTATCATGAAGCTGCTAGGCCCTCCAAATGAATTGTTATATACCCGCTGATTTAATCCTGAACGTTGAACTTGCATCATACATTTAACTTGCGATATACCTCCCACTCTCACTTTACTCATCGACAACGAGTATCAAGCCCTTTCAATTGATAGCCGGCAGAGTCATGTGTGAAAGCCATAATCAAGTCTACTTTCTTGACAGGCTTAATTGAATAGATACCGCAAGGACAAGATTGATGCAATTAATGATACAGGTAGCACCTGGAAATATGTAAGCTAATGGTCTAGTATTGGCTGCTTATGAGAAGGTTTTGGTTGCTCAAGTATGTGTATGGGTAATTGTCGCAGATAAAGCAAGCAGAAAAGTTGTGAAGAAAAAAGAGAGGCAGTGTGGGTGCTTGAGACCCGGCTGTGGGGGCAATATAAATGGTAAATGATCGATCTAGCATTTGTAATTTTCTATCCGGTATCCAAGTCTTTATATCCATATAAATTCCGTATCATAAATACTTATATCCCAATCTTCTCGAATACAAATGCGAATTTCTTCTCTTCACACTTCACTTGAAACTCCTCCTTGACTCCCGGTCCACAAGCCGCTGATCCAACACCAGCAGACTCGGCGTCTAACCTCCACAACACTTCGTTTTCCTTTACCAAGTCCCTTGGATGTCTCGCTTTTTGCAATGTAGTAGGAGAATATCTTGTAGCTGCCCATTGAAACGTGGGGGCTCCAGATGAACTTGCTCTAATTCCCACTCCAGAGGAATCTGTCATATTTACCCATCTAGTCTTCATACGGTTACCATTCTCTTGAGGTACATCGTAAGGAGTATATAACGCATCCACATCAGCGGAATATATACCTAGCTTCTGTGAAGAGCATTTATCTGCGTAGGATTCTCCTGGTCCAATACCAAACCATTCTGCATTATCGAGATCATCGCGGAGTTCAATGTCCAAGCCAACTCTAGGCAGGTTTGATGGCATTGATCCAGTAGGCTTGAGGTTGACTTTGATTTTCAAAGAGCCAGTTGCTGAGACCTGATATGTGATTGTAGCCTCGAAGCCCCAGTTCAATATTGGAGGTGAAATGAATGTTACAGCGGTGACGGTAACTAAATCGTCATCGGTCTTCACATCAAAAGATCGAAGCTGCGACGTCAATGCATCCAACCCATATCGCTTATAGTAAGGAAAGTCAGAAGGCATATCATTGTCTGTCGGTGCTCTCCAGAAGCCCAGTGTAATTGATGAGATTAGTATCTTGGTTGACTTCAAGGTTGTTGGACTGGTAAAATTCCATTGAGACAAACTACCCCGAGCTGCATCAAATGCAAATAGGAAGTTTGAGCCTGTAACTCTGTACTCCGTCCTAGATGAGACAACGTCGAGATGAGAAGTGTTTGTAGGGGAAACTCGGGAGATCGAATCTGCATTAGGCTTCGAGATCTGGTCTTGCATCCATGCAAGCTCATGACCAGCATCAGCCCAAGCAGTCGAAAACTTTTGTTGAAAGGTGACTATAATCCATAGCTCGCCCGATCCATTTCTAGAAGGAGCAGATGGTAGGTCTATCGAAGAGGACTTTCCTGGGAGGATATTTGGGAGTGCCAAATCACCAGATTTTACAATCTTCCGGCTTCGAAAAGTTAGCAAATCTGATTTTCTAAGTGTGATAAATGTTTACAAACCTTTTTTCGAACGACTCAATCTTGTAAGAAGCGGCGACATGATCAAGTCCTATGAAATCATAACCATTGGCGATCACGATTTTACCCTCTTGAACCCAAGCACGAATTGGAGCGATGACCTTTTTGAGTTCTGTTAAACCAGGCGTAGGCGTGTGATCACTGTAGCACAAGCCATCCATGACAAAGGTATCATCGTTCGGGACATCACCAAAATCGCCTCCGTAGGCATAAAAGCCCTCTTTTCCTGGCTCTGTCTTCCACAGTCCGTGATTTGCCCATTCCCAAATCCAACCCCCTTGGAGTCTTTCGTAATCTCTGAATGCAGCCTGATAATCTTCTAGACCTCCGGGTCCATTTCCCATGGCATGACCATATTCGCAAAGCACAATAGGCTTATCATAGCACCCATCAGAAACACCAGTAGTCTCCGCGTGCTTGACAAGAACATCGATGGGTGGATACATGTAAGAAAACATGTCTGCAGACTTTGCATCGGCATCACCTTCATAGTGGACCAGTCGGCT